GCGGGCCGCGGACCCGGGCCCGCCCCTCTTCTCACCGAGGGGGATGCAGTTCGTTCTCTGTGCGCTCGTCGTGTGTGCGTGCTCCGGCGACACCGGATTCGACGGCACGATCATGGGTGCTGTTAATTCCATGGACCAGTTCCACACTTTCTTCGGCTTCGACCCGCAAACCGGTGCCGACAAGACTGGTATCGTCTTCGTGAGTCTGGTCACCCCACGATCGGGGGGCTTGGAGTGCGGCTCGCTTTGCCCGCAGACGCTGACGCCCAGGGAATCTACACTGTCGGTCAGGTATGCGCGTTCTTCCCCTGCGTCTACTTCCCGGACAATATTGGACGGCGGTACACCATGTTTGGCGCCAATCTGCTCCTAATCGCCGGCGCGCTCATTGCCGGCCTCTCGCGCAACATGTCCATGTTCCTGTTTGGCCGCTTCCTCGTCGGTGTCGGGTGCACGACTGCGGGTCTCGCCGCCAAGACGTACCTGTCCGAAGTGACGTCTCCGTGGAACCGAGGTCGCTGGATGGGTCTGCTGAACTCTTTCTATTACAGTAAGTTGTCCTTTCCCCCTAGGGAGCAAGCTGACGCCACAGTCGGTCAGATCCTCGCCTCGGGCGTATCGATCCCCCTCGGTCGGCTCACGAGCAATTACTCGTGGCGCATCCCTCTGATTTTGCAGTGCGCTCTCGGCGTGATCAACGTCGCCTTTGTGCTGTTCCTCCCCGAGTCCCCGCGCTGGCTCTACGCAAAGGGCAACGGGCAGGATGCAGTTCGCCTCCTGGCCCACCTGCATTCTCGGGACAACGACGTCGACTCACCCCTCGTCCGGCTCGAACTCGCCGAGATCGAAGAGTCCATCTCGCTCCAGGGTGCAGATAAGCGGTGGTGGGACTTCCGGCCCGTGTTCAAGACGCGTGCGGCGCGGTACCGTTTCGGTCTGGGTCTCATTGTGGCTGTCTGGGGCCAGCTCTCGGGTAACGGGCTCATCACGTACTTCCTCCCCATGCTTCTCAAGGCGGCAGGCATCACGAGCCCCGACCGCCAGCGCGTGCTCAACTTTGTCAACTCGGTAACCTCTTTTGCCGGCGCGCTGCTCGGTACCAGCATGGTCGACTACATGGGCCGACGGTTCCTCATGCTCTTTGCCGAGATCTCGTGCGCGTGTGGCATGTTCATCGTCGCCGGGCTGTTGTCGGATGCGGGGCCGCAGAACCAAACGCGCGCCAATGCAGGCATCTCATTCATCTGTGAGTTTCGTTTTGAATGGCAACGCTGACGGCCAGTCCTCTTCATGGTCTTCTACTCGTACGGCTGGACGCCGCTGCAGTCGCTGTACCCGACAGAGTGCCTCCCGTACGAAGTGCGAGCGAAGGGTCTCGCTCTAGTTGGATGGGCGCAAAACGTCGTCTCGCTCATCAACACGTTCGGTCTGCCGTCTGCCCTGGCGAAGATGGGCTGGAAGAGTGAGTCATTGCAACGAACGACATCAGCTGACAGTCAGCCTATCTCATCTTTGGATGCTTCGATGTTATCGGTGTCGTCGTCATCTGGCTCTTCGTGGTTGAGACGAAGCAACTTTCGCTCGAGGAGCTCGACGATGTCTTTGCGTCTGGATCGCCGAAGGCTATGGCTGCGGCCCTCCACAGACGTGCGAAGAAGGCGGCTAAGGAGCGCCAGCATGCAGCGTAGTCAGGTCCGGTCATGTATCGTTTTGTATGCAGTTTTTGTGTTCTGATCAAGACTCGCTCGTGTCCATATGTCCATCACTGGCCCGTGCTTGTCGCAATCAGTCCCCCCGGTGTTGCTCGGCTCAGGTCCCTCCCCACGTGATCGCAGGGCAGGATCGCTGGTGGTGGCCCGCATCGCTGATCAACGGCCCCAGGCACGGCAGGCATGAAATTACCGAATACGGCCACTTTGTTCATGAAAGCCAAGCCGGTATTTTGATCCCGCTCCACGCGCGCCGCGCCCTGGAGTCATGTAGCCTCCACATGTTGTTGTTGCTTTCCCCTTCATTACGCGCATATCCCGCACTCTAACAACAACAATCCCCGCACACCCCCGGCCTCCGACGCCTCTCCGCACCTGACCCCGCAGGCTATTCTGCTCTCCTCGATTGCGTCCTTCCTTCCTCGCCACTCAACTCACATCATACACGCAGAGGAGCGCGCACCTGGCTTTTTTTTTATTCGACTGCATCGCGCGCAGTCCGAAAAGGAAACCCGGCAATCGACCGGCTGTTAGGAACAAGTGGCGGACCACTGGTCACTGGGTGGATAACGGGATCTGGGAAGCGTATTCAAGCGTAGCTGCGGAACACCACAGCAGGTGGGCTAGCTTGCCTTCACACGCGCGTAGCACGCAGCTAGCCAGCACACGACGCACGCGGAGGACACTGGAGTTACTGCCACACCCGCGGATCTCGTGCAGCCCGTGCCTCCTTCCTCGGCGAGTCTGAGCAAACGATGGCGAGGGCGCGAGTCTCTGGCGGACGCGACCACGAACTCAGTGAGTACCCTGCATACCTCTTCCTCTGTGCTCCACGGCGGCTCGGCGAGCGGTCCTCGCTTCCCTCGCTAACAATAGCCATGACGCAAGCCTGGCACACGCTGGTGGACACGATCCGGCAGCTTCCCTCAGCTCCCGGCTCGACGAGCGTGCAGGCCGAGAAGGCGACACTGGAGCTGGCGCTGGACCAGCTCAGCGCGCTCATCGACCTGCGCAAAGGCATCGTCTCGCCTACGCCTGAGGCGACCCCCCCGCCGGGCATGCAGGGCAAGCGGAAACGGCGCCCCTCGCACTCCTCACCAGGCCTGGGCATGTTCGGGAGCGAGTCTGGCTTATCCTCCGTCGCCTCCCCGCACGCGCGCGCAGGCACCCCCTCACAACGAAGCGGCGCGCGGGCACGTTGCCGGGCACGCCGCTGAGCCAGAAGACGCCCCCGGGCGCGTCGGACGATCTCAGGCCAGGCATCAAGGTCGCGGCCAAGCAGAAGGCGCACGACGGCGAGTGGGTCCTCGCCACGATCAAGAATCGGCAGGGAACCAAGTATGAAGTGCAAGATGCCGATGACGGGAGCCGGTGGACTGTGTCTATTGCGCAGATTATCAAGTTACCCAATGGCGAGGAGGGGAAGACGTTCAAGAAGGGCGACACGGTGCATGCCCTCTATCCTGACACGACGAGTTTTTACAAGGCCACCGTCATCCAGGGCCTCGAGGGACGGACGTATAAGCTGTCCTTTGTCGATGATGGGGACAACATTTCGGAAGTCGACCGCGACTTTGTCGTCTTGGTGAGTTTGAGTGAAGAGGTTCGATACTGACCTGCCAGTACCGCGACCGATAAGTAATGACATGTCACGATTGTAGATACCCCCTCCATTTGTTTTGCTTCTGATGCACGTATTCATCACACACATGCTTGGCTTGGCATAGATTGATACAACTAATTGCCTGTGGCGGCAGCAACTAAAACTTGGCCTGTACTATATACACATTTTGGATGGGTGGGGTTGGGATCCCGGCTTGGGCTTGATATCTCGATGCTGGGGTATGTCCTGTGGGCTTATGCTGGGTCACGCTTCTCTCGGCCCCCTTGCTGACACTTGCTCAACTCGCGCTCGCTCAGATCCAGCTCGGGCGACTGTCGGCCATGGTCGCCTGCCTGACGCCATAGCGCCACTTTTCAAGGTCGACCCCCTCGCGACGCAGGCGCAGCACCGTGCTCATGTTCAGGTGCACCTTGTCCTCGGGGTTGGCCTCCTCGGCGCGGTCGTACAGGCTGCTCGAGTCCGATTCGTCGTCCTCGGCATAATACTTCTCACACCCAAAGCTGCCCCTGCGACGGCGAGGCACATGGACGCCGTACTCGTGTTGCAGCCTCAAGGCCCACATGCCACTGAGGCGGTTCAGGTCGACATCGAAACCGTCCACGGGGTAGCGAACGAGCAAGCCCAGCATGGAGAAGAAGGCGAGCGTGCAGATGAGCGGCACGCTGATCCACCAGTAGAACGGGAGCAGGTGCGAGCTGCCGTGACGCGAGAAGTAGGTCCAGAGCGGAGCGCCTGCGACGGGGTCCACGCGGAACACCCAGAGAAGCAGGTAGCCTGCCGTCTTGACTGCGGTCTGGTGGAAGAAGAGCAGGTTCGCGAGCAGCGTCGTGTGCCGCGTCGCGTACAGGTGCTTGGATGCACTTGAATGTTAGCGCTGGACTCTGGCGTTTCTGGCGTTGTGGGATGCATTGAATCATGTCTTGAGGGTGAAGGGATCTCGATCGATCGCGCTTTGGGCCCAGGTCCTGAGCCCAAATGATCGGACAGGAACAGGCCCCCGTCGCCACGCTGGGTTTGTTGGGCCTGCTGCGGTTCGGTCCCGAATCATCAAGGCGTCATCACCACCATGGAATTTCGAGATGCGTCTTCCCTCGAGATCAAGATGCAGATGCGCAGATGCGTAGATGCAAGCATACCGCGTAGACGCCTACTCGCTGCAAAGAAAGACTCACCGTTGGGACTCGGGGTCGAGAGGGCGGACGTACGCCCACTGCACAAAGTGGAAGATGGAGAGGAGAAGGAGCAGGTCGTAGCTCGTTGGCAGCTTGGGCGCGGCGTGTTGGCTGAACCAACATCTGAACGCTTCAAACGAGGGTCTGATGTTAGCTATGGATAGCCGTGCAGCAGCTGATGGTTGACTCACTCAGAGGAGAGAAGGCCAAGCTGGAGGCTCATGGCGGAGTCCGTGTGTCGCTGTTGCTGGCGGTGAGAGACGAGTGAAGAATGACGGGGAAGCACGAAAGGTTGGCGAGCAATATAAGAATGGAATATATGGTCGTTCGCGTCGCTCGCTGTGTTCCAGCGGCGTGCACTATATGCACTAGTGGGATTGTTGGTGCGGTGGTCGTGTGGGTGCGGTGGTACGGCGCCAGTGGCCGAAGGCCGAGGGGCGCTGAATGTGCTGAATGTTGTGTGGTATGTGGGTTGCGGGCCGCGGCTGGAATGGCCAGGAGGGATGGATGTGTGAGGGCGAAACCAGATCTGCCTGCGCCTGTTCTGCCTTTTCTGCGTTAATGCGTTGGACAAGAGATAGTGTGAGAGAAACGCGCAGCGTGTGGAGTGTAAACAGCCGTCCTTATACGTTATCGTGTCGTAGATATGCGCCGCGACGTAGCGGCGCACGCGGCGCAGTTTCACTCTGCACGGATGGCTGGGATGAGCTATGAGCTATGAGGCGCGCTCGCGTTTGCGCATAGTGCGGCGGTGTAACTTTTGCTTGGCTTCCATCTCCCGTCTTCGCTTGAGTTCCGATACGAGCACTGAGCCTGCGACAGCGGCTCGGTGCACCGAGACAACGGCAACGGGCCCGGGGCAAGAGGGGTCGTATCGTAGGAGAGTAGGAGAAACTATCTTGCACAATCAGCAACGGGCGAGGGGTCCCACAGCCGAAGTCTGAGCTAAGCTTGCGGCTATGGCGGCGTAGCGGCAGCGACTATTGCGGTAGCAGTACGGCAGCGACGGGTGTGATGACACAACTCGCATCCCAGCTGCATCAGCATGCATCAGCGTATTTTGCTCGGTGCCGCAATGCAATGCTCTGCACGGGACCGCGACGACACAGCCAGGATCGCCAGTTTCTCGGTTCATCGCCTGCGTAGTAAGCTCCTGACATTCGCCTACGGCCTGCGCCTCGGGCTCCGAACCTGCGGCGAACGCCCTGCGGCCCACGGCCTACGGCCTACGGACACGGCACCGATACCCTGGCTCAAGGGCGGCAATTTCGCGTCGTGGTCAGCTCAGCAAATGTATGCAATGCATCCAGTCTCCGTCTGCCGGGCCCCGCAGGCAGCCGCAAAGTGTGCACGCATGCCTCCCCCTTCATGCCTGATTGGGACACTGGGCGTACTATTTCCTCACGCGTGAAGTGCATGAGAGTCTGGGCGTGTGGGGGCGTGGGATGCGTCGGCGTCCGCTTCGGGCTTGTATCATTGTTAATTTGGGACCTGCATTGGGACCTTGCTTGGACCTGCTGGACCTGCTTGGCACATGACCCTTGGAACCGAGCGACTCACCCACAAGGCCATGCTGACAATCGGACAGATAACTGGCTACACATCATGCCCCCGCGTCTCAGCCCGTCCTCAGCCGCCGGCAGATGATGAATCCTGGGCGTATCCAGATCTGCAGACACAATCTGCGCTTGCGGAAAGAGACCGGATGGATCGGATAGAGTCTGCGCTAACGAGCGCCTCGATCCCGGCGGTATGGCGAGACTACAGACGAGACCAGCTTGACTGTTCCCAGGCCACGCCTCTCGCATGCTTTGTGATGCTTCCATGTGTGTACCGTGTGGGGTCATGCAGGTATGCTTCGTACGATACATTTGATGGAGTTACAAAGGCCGCTAGCCTTATCTACAGGTCCCGTTCTAGTTCCCGATCGGACCAAAGTCAGCCTCGAGCGCCTGCCCCAATGCCTGCGCCATGCGGGGCGACAATGTGATGTCCTTCGTCTCTGCCTCCTCTGGCCCTCCGTCTGCCTCTTCTCCCTCCTCGGCGTCGTCCTCATCGCTGGATCCATAACCTCCCAGTCCCAAGCCCAGCTCCTCGGGACGTTCCCTCTTTGCGGGCACGCTCTTCTTCTCCTCAGCGGCCACCTTGGTCTCGAATCGGGGGATGACGGCGACTTCGCCGTTGCCCAGCTTTCCGAGCCACTCTGTACGGTCAAACACGCGTACCGTGGGGAACTCGACGAACGCGGTGCCGTTTAGCGCCTGGTCGACGGGAAGGTTTCCGTCCAGAGGGGTGAAGTACTTTGTGGCCCGGCTTGGGGGTGTTGGGTCGGGCACGTCGCGGGAGCGGGGGTAGTAGTATGGCAGCGCCAGAATTGGCTGCTTCGCGAGCACGTCGGGGGGAAGGAGACTGTTCATTGTCGTTGGCGGAGAGGAGCGGGGCAACACGGAGACTCGCGGATGCGTGATTGTCTGCTGCTCCTCGCCCTCCGCCAGGGCCGGAGACAGCGCGAACTGTATCGTCATGTGCAGACTCTGGTTCCTGCTGTCAGCTTCGCACTCCTTGTCCAGCTCACTTGGCATTCCAGCTCGACTGGTTCGTCTTCCTCCTCTGCATCCCATCAGGGACGAGATCGACTTCCGCTCCAATCTCGTTCGCGGCCCATCGCAGTCCGTCGAGCCTACTTCGCTTGATCCCCCGTCCACCCCTCGCTCCGCCCCTCCCTCTCCTCGGCGTTTCTCCCTTTGCCGCACGCTCCGCCTCCTCAGCAGTAATGCCCTCTCCCCACTCCGCAACCTGCCGCCTCCCCTGCTCCAGCCAGGTGTAGTCGCCGTCCCACGTCCCCTGCGTGATCTTGTTGAGGGGCACATAGGCTGCCGGATTCCGCACACCCGAGCAGTTGTCCGCCGCCTTGTGCGCCTTCGAGCATGCGACGGAGCATGTCCGCTTCTCGCATCGCGGACAGGTGTATTTCGCCTCGGTGCCGCAGACTTGGCACGCGTTTGTCTTCACTGGCTCTTGGACTGGCGCGCTACCGGGCTTCGCCGGGAGGTTCGAGGGCGGCGCAGGGAGCGGCATGTCGTCGACCACGAGGGGCAGCCGTAAGAGAGTCGGAGTCGAGTTGTGACAAACGTCGATGCCGCCGCCGAGATAGCGATGGAGTCAGGCGAGACTTTTGTTGTTGGACGACGAGTGAGCCCGAAATGGCAAGAGCTCGGTGATGCGCGCCGATCAGAAATCTGACGTCGGTCCAACATGTGGAGGTTCGGTGGCGACACTGAGTCACGTGAGATTGGGGACCCCACAACCCTTGTTGATCTCGACACCGGCCGATAATGCTCCATCCCGACACCCATCGGCCGTCACCTTTGGTGCCAAGAGCTCGGCAAGTCTGTGTGTCCTTATAAACCATCTTATCTGATAACTCTGGCGACAATCTTGCCCACATCCTTGAATCATGTTGGCCTCCCTGCTTGCTCTTGCTGTCTGAGCTGCTGCTTTGCCCCAGCAGACGCCTCTTGAGCGACCGCACCGCGAAACCCGCGAGGAGGCTGGTGAGTTTGCCACCCGCCCGTGTGACTGACAGTGACAGCTGTCAGCGCCCGTAGCCTGACCCAGCACGTCCTCACGGGCACCATGTCGAGTGTCTTCCCCGAGGGCTCTGACAATGCAGGTAAGGTCGTCCGACCGGCAGTGCTGACGTCAGGACACCCGTTCGCGCTGATGGAGGTGGGTCCGGCTCCGAGATAACTAACCCGGCGGCCGACATGCTGCTAACCTCCAGTCTCGTGAGTTTGATCGTCACGCAGCTTCATACATGGAGGAGGGCTTCAGCTGATATCAGACGCCCCGTGCCACCCCGACGGTGCGCTCACGTTCATCCAGTTCCCGATCTCGCTCATGACGAAGAACATTGACGCCGCGCATGGATCGGCGACGTACACCCTCCAGACACCGCTGAAGGAGCACAGGAGCGAGTATGGCCAGCCCCGCGCGGCGTTCATCGGTGTAAGCATCTTCGGGTCCACGAGTCCGAAGACCTCGCGGCTGATGAAATGCAGAACTTGACAACGGTCTACCCCGATGAGAAGGAACGCAAGCGCCTCGAAGAGTGCTTCACCCAGTACCACCCTGATGCCAAGTGGTGGCTGCCGGGCGACCCTAAGGGCGCTCATGTCGCGCGCTGGGCACGCCTCGATATTCAGGACATCTACTACATTGGCGGATTCGGAACGTAAGCTAGAGGCCCTGGTTGCTAGCTGACAGCAGGACCGGATGGATTGGACACATCCCGCTCGATCTGTACCGTAAGGCTCGTGTTGATTGATTGGAGGGTCGTACGAAGTGTAGTTAAGCATAGCATTGTCTCTTGAGAACGCATGAACATCGTCTGTCTGAGCCTTACGCCCTGTGATAGGTGCAGCGAATCTACCACGGCAAGACGGCATAACTGGAGGAAGCCTTGGCTAGATTCATGGTTTCCCACAGTGCTCGTCTGGTTGTAGAATTGATCCCGCGACGAACGGTGGTCTGAAAAAAACGGCCGACCACCGGTGGTCGCGGGACCAAAGTGACAAAACGGGCCAAGGACGAAAAACGGGCCAAGGGTCCAACTGTCAAACACGGGCCAAGGGTCCAAACTCGAAAACGGGCCAAGGGTTCAAAACTATGCCTCCGCGAACTCGGATGCCTCCGTGAACTCAGATGCGTCTGAACTCGGATGAACGAGGTCGGAGAGACGCTTTGCTAGATTCAATGTTTCCCACGGATGCTCAATTACTGTGATGCAACGGTATCGGCGCAATACAATGTTCTTCGCAACGCGGTTATGCAAGCCGGACAGCGGTGAATGCATCGCGTCAGCTGGCTCAGTGCTGGAATGCATGCATCTCTAGTGAAGGCTTCAGAGGCCCATATAAGCGGCATGCACCCAGCTTTCCCACGACTGCGTTGTGGATGCGGCCCGTTTGTAGGCGGGATCAAATGGTCGCTCGAAAGTTGTAGGCGGAGGCAAAGGGTGGTTTGAAGGTTGTAAGCGGAGGCAAATGGTCGCTCGGAATCAGAGGGTGGTTGAGAATCAGGCCACTGACAGGATTCGAACGTACCCATGGTTGGAGGTGGCCTCCGCTAGATTCATGATCTCCCACGCCCGACGCCCCACCATACGATGTGTGTGGCACTTTTGGCACTAGCGTCAACACACCCCCAACCATCCACCACGAGCTTCTCTTTCATCCAGCAGCATCAGAACTCGTCTAGAGACGATGTACTCTGCACCAGAAGCAGAAGAAAAAGTAGATGCTGCCCCACACGGGCTCGAACCGTGGACCTCGGAGTGTGTTAAGAGTAACAGCTCCACGCGCTAGCCAACTGAGCCATAGGGCAGATGTCTCGTCAAAGGGACGGACCTGTCGGCCTCTCCCGCGCCTGCTTATGTACCTCCGCGTTCAGGTGGCAAGGACGGTGTGGCGGGCAAGTGACTGATCGTTCGTTCGCTGTCATACTACGACGGAGGGATGGAACGGGGCATTGCGTGATGCAGTGGCGAGATGAAGGGACCGGGCCCCCACTTGATAAAGGCGGTTGCTACTTATGCAGAAAAACAGTGCGGCAGCCTATTCCATGACTGACCACTGAGTACCCAGGGAAGGGGCATGCCTCCTACTGTTCGGCACTCGGAACTGCGATTATCGCAGTACTGCGTCCCACGGGAAGAAGGCCGGTTGTACATCCAGTCACCTCGCCGCGTACAGTACCCTCTGCCGCTGATTGACCCCTGGCTTCGTACATGTTCGGGAGATCCCATCTGTGGATTCTACATGGCAGCCGAGCTCCCGGTTCGCGCTCATGGCCACCTCGACAGAGTATGAAGGAGTCTGTCCAGCCGGCTCTCCATAGCCTCCGATTTTTGGCTAAGCAACTGCAAGTCGTACTTCAGACGGTTCTGTTCATCAGCCCGAGACAGCAGGGAAACCACTCACGATACCGAGAACAGCGACGAGGGCCCCAGCGCCCGTGTACCCGGCCATGAATGTAGCGGCGGCCATAAGGAGAACGTCGGAGGCGGAGCGCGTCCCGGAGTTGACGTCGGGGTACGGAGCCCGGCGGGATGATTGCCGCCCGGTGCATGCAGTGACGGGCCGCGTAGCGTGGCGGAGCATTGTAGTTCGGATCATTTCGAGTTGATGTGCGTTAGAGAGGGCTGTCACGATGGGCAAGAGCGATGAGAGGGTTGCTCAAGTACGGTGACAGCAACGGAGCACCACACTGCGGTTGTCGGCGCCGCAAGCCGGGCCGAGCGCTTGCGTCCGCGTCATCGGCCGCTAGTCCGAGGCTATCCGCCGATGGCTAGACACGGCTGACGAGGCTGAAGGCTGCGGAACGCTACGAACAGCCATCCAGTAGATTGCTTGCCAGTGGAACTGATGGCCTCGCATTGCAAAAGGGCCCGAGTGGCGTATCAGCGTACCCTCGCGCGACTGGCCGCCAACAAACCGGCCCAGTATCCGACCTCACATCCGAGCTCACATCTGACCTTGCTGTGTTTCATCGAAACTCGACCTGCTCTTCTCGCCGGCGACGCTTCGCTCCGCAACATGAATTTCTCGTCTGAACACATGCATCTATACTACTAGTGCCCCCAGAGGGGTTTTAGGACAAGCCCAACGCTGCCACAGCAGCAGCTTAGGCCGCAACACGGCGCTGCATGCCGAGGCCCGAGTTGAATCCGCCCCTTCCCCTTCCCCTTCCGCGGTAGGATCCGCGTCCGCTCCGCCTTTCTGAGCGCTGCCCCCTGCCGTCGCTGTTCTCCCTGGGTCCCGAGCGCTCGTTGCCCGGCGCCTGGCCGAGCTTGACGTCGAGGGTCTTCTCGTTCTGCTCGAGGAGGTTGACGGCGCGGTCGGCGAGCTGCTGCGCGAGGCGCTGCACGTCCGTCTGCTCGACGCGGTTGAAGACGACAACACCGTCGATCTGGTCGAGCGACGCAGCCAGCTCGTCCGTGTAGATCATGCGCGAGACGATCGACGTGACCGCCTGCTGCGGCAGGGCAAACATGGTCGCGAGGTGCGCGAGCGACAGCGACTGGTAGTACGGCGCGTACGTGAAGAGGTACGTGCGGAGTCCCTCCTCCTGGATCTTGCGCGCGAGCATGTCCTTGACGTCGTCGACGTTGTCGAGTAGCGCCCAGATCTTGATCGTGAGGATCAGGTCGCGCGCACGCTCCCACTCGCCAGCCTGCAGCGCCTTGGCCGCCTTGATGATGTGGTCGCGCGTGTTCTCGGGCGGGCCCATGAACGCCTGCTTGTCGGCGAGGTCGAGGAGACGCTTGAACTGCTTGGAAGCGATGCGGCGGCGCTGCTCCTCCGTGTCGACCGACGCGAGCAGCGGGATCTCGACGAGCATGCACGACGTCAGGTAAGCGGCCTCGAGCAGCTCAATGTTGAGGTGCATGTGGAACGGCAGAAGACGGCGCTTCTCAATGAGCTCCTGCTCCGGCGACAGCGACGACGTGTAGCGCTGGACGGCCTGGGCGAGCAGCTCCTTCTGACGCTGCGTCTGGAACATGTCCTGGAGGATCGTCTGGCACTCGTGGATGAAGCCGCAGCGGAAGGCAGCAAGACCGAGCTGGACCATGGCACGGTTGTACATGATCTGCGTGGCGACGTCGGCGTGCTGGATGGTGTCGTGCAGGTGCGACATGAGCAGCAGGTCGCGCGCCTGGTGGTAGCGGGCGTGGATGGCGTGGTTGAAGATGTGGGCAAGGATGGCACGGGCGCGGAGGAGAGGCGCGTCCGAGTGGTAAATGTGGACGCAGAGCAGGTGGATGAGCTGTGACGCGTCGCGCTCGACGCCGAACGGCGTGATCTGCGACGTGAAGCCCTCCTGCTCGGCGGCCTTGTTGACGGCGGCCTCAAAGTGGTCGACAATGGCGTCGGGCTTGGCGTAGACGTGCTCGACGCGGCGCATGACAGCACGAGCAGTCTGGTCGGCCCACTGCTCGCGCTCGAACAGCGACTGCGCCTTGGCGATCGTGACGTACAGCGGGGTCTCCTCACGGAGGCGCTCGATGTACTCGGCTCCGTGCTCGTGGGCGTCAGTGTGCTGGAGAGTCTTGGTGAACTCGTTGTCGAGGTTCTCGAGCAGCGAGACAAGGTTTCCAGCGACGGCGACGCGGCCGCCCTCGGTCTGGGGCGTGCGCTCGGCCATGTCGTCGTACTCGGGGACCTGGTCCTTGACCGTGTAGTCCTGCTCCTTAAGCAGGAGGGTGACAAGCTGGTCAAACTCCTTCAGGCACGCGACCCATGAGTCGTGCGGGATGGAGGCGAGGTTCTGCGAGTAGTCGAGGCGGGCGGGGATGAGGGCGAGGAGGACACGGATCTGCTGGTACGTCGTCTCCGAGACCTCGAGGAGGCGCTGGAGGGTACGGATGGTCTCGGCGCGGTCAGTGTTCTTGCGTCCACGCTGGTCGAAGATCTCGCGGAGCGTCTTGAACACCGAGTCGGCAGTGAGAGCGACCTGGCGACCACCGCGCCCAATGGTCGTGAAGCCGTCCTCGTTGTCCGGGGTCTCGGCGCCGTCAGCGGCAGCCTGGGCAGTGGGCGCCCTCCGCGTCTTGACGGGCGTGTTAGCCACATTGTACGCGTCCGTGTAAGCCTCGGGGTCAAAAGTGTACTGCTTGAGCTGGGTCTCGAACTCCTTCGTCTTCTTCTTGAGCGTCTGGCGCATCTGGTTCAGCGCCTTGGCCTTGTTGGCAGGCATCTTCTTCGACGCGCCCTTCTCAGCCTTGACCGTCTCGGCGATCGACTCGTCGAGCTCCGTGATCGCCTTCAGGAAGGCAGGAGGAATGTGGCCCGCAGGCGGGATCGGCGACGCAAGCATCGAGGTCTGGTGGCGCTGGATGAAACGGAGAAGCTTGTCGAGCTGGTCAGAGGCGGCGACCCAGTCGTTGGCGGCACCGCCGGCCTTGGTCGCGTTCGCGAGCGCGTTCACGGCCGCGTCCATCTCGGCGAATCTGCACGTCAGAAGAGTCCCATCGCACTGGGCGCGTGATTCCATTCCGTTCGGTGCGCCATGTTTGCCACGCATAGCACCTCAACGCTACGCGCTTCGTTTGAACAGGACGCAGAACCACACGCGCGGCCAAGCCGCCTCAAACTTACCGCTTGTCCTTGGCCGACAGCACACGGATCCTGTCCTCGTCGTCCGAGTCCTCGTCGCTCGAGTCAGCGCCGCGGAGGAACTTGTTGGCGCGGGCGTTGCCGCCCTCGTCGTCCGAGTCGCTCATCTCCTCCTCCTCGTCCGAGCTGTCGTCGCTGTCATCGCTGCTGTCGTCGCTGCCGGTCCGGAGGAACTTGTTCGCCATCGTGTTGCGCTTCTGGGGCTGCTCCTCGTCCGAGATGAGGGACTCCTCCGACTCCGAGGACGAGTCGGAGTCGCTGTCGCTGCCGAGCTTGGCGAAGAAGGACATTTTTGTTGAGAGAGGGGGGGGGTTTGTCGTGAGGGCGTCGAACGGCTGGGGTCCGAGGCTAGAGGGTTACTCTCACGAGTTTTGGCTGTCTGCAACCCTTTCTTCTTTGTCGCTGACGACTGCCTGCTGGCAAGAACAATGCGAAACCGCAAAGATTCAACCTGCCACATGCTCCTCAGGGGCGCTGCGGAGCCATAACGCCGAAAAGCTGCTGTCAAGTGGGCACGTGGGGATGGATCACGTGACTGGCTCGGTTACTGAGGTTCCTGGATCGTCGATATGTGTGTGTGGTGCAATGCGGCAGAGAGGCAGATCATGACACAGATACATCGCTGATATGGGGTACTAAACTATGATACAGTGGCATTAACCTCTCTCTCTCTTTGTCTGTCTGTGTATGTGCAGTTCCCGCTGCTCGCTGCGCTCGCAACTTGTTAGAACTTGAAGAATCCCCGCACGGAGCTCTTGCCCGCCTCAGCCATCGCCGCCTTGCGCGCCGCCTCCACAAACCCACTGGCCGAGCTGGCGAGCTGCTCCGCGCTCTCCTCGAGGCGGTTCATGACCTCCTCTCTCTGCCTGAACTTTTGCTGCAGCTCGGCATAGATCCCTCCGACATTCATGCCCCCGGCCTCCTCCTGGGCTGTCCCAGAGGTCCCAGATGCGCCAGAGACACGGCGGGAGTCGCGTTTCGGTACTGGGGCGGCAGGTTGGGCCCAGCTCATGATCGACGGTTTAGCAGATGGGGGCTTGGGCACGACGCGGTCCGCTCCGCCGACGATTGCGTCGAGCTGGGCACCAGTGAGGGGTGCGTTGGCCCACATCCAGCTGAACACGCCCGCGTTGAGGGGCTGGGGCTGCGCGCCGTAGTCCTCGCGGTGGAAGGTTGGGTCGATGCGCGGCGGGAGCGGTTTGCGGAAGTTGAACAGCGTCTTGAGCTGAACGTCCCGGGGGGAGGTGTACTCGAGGAAGTCGCCCGAGGACTCAAACGAGAGCGTACCGCTGGGCTCGCCTATACCGAGCGGCTGCCGCGTTATCGCCTCGAGCTTGGGGACGGAGAGAAACTCGGCGAACCCGGGCACAATGGCGGCGAGGACCCGCCCTCCGTTCCGAGACAGGTAGGCTGCGGCCGTGCAGTTCGTCAGACTGGCCTTGGCCAGCCGGTCGCCCGTCACGTTGGCGCTGGCGCGCGCTGTCGTGCGCGAAACGGCGAGGTAGATGCAGTGCGTCTTGGACTTGAGCGACATGCGGTGGTGCTCGGCCTGCATCGAGGCGGCGAACGCGGCCGGCGACGCCGTCAGTTCCTCCCCAGTCTCAGGATCGAGCACGAAAGACGCGACCGGCGCCTCGAGCGACGTAAACGTTGCTGGCTTGGAGACAGTCCATCCCTTCTGGTTCACGAGCGGGTAGACGCGCGAGGCGCCATCGCATACGGCAAAGAGGCGCGGCTTTGGCGTGCTGTCGTGCCCGACGCCGCAGACTGCCCACTGCAGCACACACACGGGGCGCTCGAGCACCTCGACGTGCATCACGCGCGGGCCGCGCATGTCGATGACCACGAGCTGCGGGCCGTACCCGACGGCAAGAAAGCCGATGTCGCTGAGCGAGAGGGCGGAGACGCGGCCGGAGAGCTCGAAGAGCGCAACGGGCTTGAACCCGTCCACGTCCCAGCGCGCAAGGTGGGAGAGGGACACAACCTGCGTCGCGGGCGGCTCGGGGGTCGGTTCAGGCGAAGGAGACCTCTCGTCCACCCGCCCGTCCCACCCGCGGTACAGCGCTGGAGCCTCGTCCTCGTCCTCTTCGAGCGAGACGTCCTCCAGCTCGTCGTTCAGGTCCGCGTCGTCGAGCTGATCGGCAACGGCGTCAACGTTCTTGGGCTCCTCGGCTCCGTTCTCGTGCGGCTTCTCGAGCGTAACCTTCTCGACCGCGGCCTCCTTCTCGTCGATGGAAGCCGGCTCCTCAACGATGGGCGACGCGGAGGGACTCTCGCTGCTGTGCCTCGTCTCCGCCTCGCCAAACTTGGCCACAAGCACCTGCCCGGACGCCAGGGCGATGGCACACTCCAGACTCTCCGGCGCGAGCACCGCATCCACAACGACAGGTTTCGGCCCGTCGCCGTGCGTCTCGCGCAGAACCCTCGCAACGTCAATAGTCAGGTGTGCGAGGGGATTGGGAAACTCAAACGCGAGGGGCACCTGGAGGAGCAACTGCGCCGAGACGTCGTGGAAGCGCACGCACGCGTCCGCATGCCACGACATCACGCTGCCCCTCGTCGCCGTGCGTCTCGCGCAGAACCCTCGCAACGTCAATAGTCAGGTGTGCGAGGGGATTGGGAAACTCAAACGCGAGGGGCACCTGGAGGAGCAACTGCGCCGAGACGTCGTGGAAGCGCACGCACGCGTCCGCATGCCACGACACGAGGATGCGGAACCCGTCGTGCTGTTTTGGGTCTGTGGCGCCGGAGCTGCGGAGGTCGGGGACGGCCAGGCCGCCACGGAGGGGGAGGCGCGTGCCGTCCATACTGCCGGCGAGGAGGCGGGCGAACTGCGCGTCGGGGACCGAGACGAGCTTCGCGCCCAGCGTCGCCCGCACGCCGGCCCAGATCCCGCTCGGCACGGCCAGCGCGCCGTCCCGCGCCCTCCGCACTGAGCGCGAGGAGAGCACGCTCGCGCGGTCGGGCGCGCTCCACGGGAAGCGGCGGATGCTATCGCGCCTCTTCCGCGTGCTCTGGGTGTTCTGGGCCATCACGTCGCCCTCGCCGGGGAGGGCAAAGTCTTTGCGTCCGAGGATGGGGGGTTCCACCTCGCTCCGCAGCGGTGGGAAAGCGTACGCCTCCAGCTCTCTGCCGAGAGCAGGCAGGCTTGGGTCCGGAGTCAAGAGCACGACGAGGGCCGAGGCGTCCTGCGCCTGCCCGTAGAAGGGCGAGGAGGGGAGGAGGAGAAAGTCTTCTGGCGGCGTGCGTGAGCGATAGGCCGAGAGGCCGGTGGGATTGACGCTGGCGCGGAACGCGGCGCGCTCGGCGCGCGAGAGACCCTCGCCTTGCAGGCTCTTCTTCGCCCCCTTCGGGACCACGGGCGCCTGATACGCAGGCAGTTGGAGGACGCTGATGCCCGGCTTCTCGCCACTCGCCTGGCCGCCCAGGACGAGTAAGAGGCTCTCACCGCGGCTCGCGAACTGCTGTCCAAACTCCTCCGTTCCGGGCGTAAAGCTGGCCCACTGCAGTTTGTATACCGGCTCGCGGTCTGCCACAGCGGCGGGCGTCACGGCGGCATGTTCAAAGTCGCCGGCCGCCTTGGCCGCGAGCTGATCCCTAAGCGCGCCGGCGGCGACGAGCGCTTCGGCGTCTGCAATGTGCACGTCCTCGTGCGTCAGTGTGCGCACAGTGAGGGGCTTCTCGTCCGCATACGCCCAGAAAGAGAGACACCCGTCTGCGTGGCCGGCGCAGAACACGAGGCCGTCGTCGCGCCACGCCAGCGTCGTCACGGGCGGAGAACGCTCAGTCCACAACCGCTCTGCGTTGGCGTAGCTCCCCCCGCCCGGCGACCCTGGGGCGTGAACAGCCTCGAAGAACTTGACCCCCGCGCCTGCGCGAATGTCGTACGCGTCGTACGCGGCCACGCCGCCCGTGTACCCGACCAACAGCACATTGAGGTCCCTCGGGTTCTGTGCGAGGGCGACGATCGACCTGGAATGAACTTTCAAAGACTACGTAGCTGGCGGAGTAACTTACGACTTTGCCTTTGGTCGATCGACGCCGCTGCGGCGTAACCTCTCCTCGTGCCCCTCCCAGAGATTCGGCACGCGCCACTCGGCCAGCCGGGCCAGTTTCGTGTCCCAGGCGCGTAACGTGCCGTCCGCCATGCCGAGGAACACGAAGGAGTGCGAGACGCCCGTCTCGATGGCCGTCACGTTGCCGAGACTGCTCGCGGCCTCGCGCACAGGCAGCGGCGCCTCGGCCCTCAGTGCTGGCTCTGTGACGGTTCCCAGGTCATACTGGTACAGCGTGTTGTGGTCGTCGATCGCGATGAGCTTGGAGCCCGGGTGGAACGTGAGGAACTTGATGCCAGGCGAGGGCGGCGAGGACGAAGTCCGAGCCTGTCCTTGGGCCTGTCCGTGTGTCCCACTGTGCCCATTCTCGTGTCCGCCAGAGTATCGCACTCCACCACTCGAACTCCGCCGACTCTCCAAAGTCACGGGAATAGTGAACCGGAACCCTTCCTGGCCATACACGGCCACTGTGCCCGCATCCGTGCCCAGGGCCATGAGGGAGAGCACCGGGTCTTGCGCGAGCGCGGTCACATCGCCCGCGAGCGCGAGGGAGGCGAGGGCGCCATATTTGTAGAAACTCGGCTCGCGGAGCGGCGCGCTGAAGTCGGGCAGCGGGGGGCGGGACTTGAACATGTCGATGCCGAGCAGCCGAGCGGAGCGAGGCTGACACCCGAGGCGGAGCGGGCGAGACTGAGACCCGAGGCGGAGGGTGAGCTGGCCGGTCAGTGTAAGGAGGGCGAGACCCGAGGCGGAGGGTGAGCTGGCCTGTGAGAGTGCGCGAGGTCAGGACCCGAGGCGGAGGGCGAACCAGCCGTCAGCGCGTCGGCGAGGGCTAGGAATGTGTCGGGGTGAGTGATCGTGAGATAGTGGGAGACAGCGAGGACGTGTTGCGTGTTCCGCGTGTTCCGGCCAGCGGATCGTGTTGATCGTGTTGATCGTGTTCTCGAGTCTGGAGGGCGCAAAAGTCGATACGCCAATCTAAGTGTCTAGGTGTCACTGCCTGGCTGTCCTGTCCGAATCGTGCGGACAAGTCACGGACAAGTCACGGGGATGAAGGTCGAGGCCGATGGGGGCGGTGCGGCGGTGCAGCGGCAGTGTCGGCAGTGTCGGCGGTGCAGCGTTGCGGCGGCCAGGTATCCCCGAGAACACGAGAACACGGAGACAGAGCGATGTCGAGTCGGATCGCAGAGTCCGTGTGTCGTGTGTCCGAAGTGGTCAAAGCGTGCAAAGCGTGCAAAGCGGCCTTAGCGTCGAGCGTAGGCTAAATCGTCTTCGACAATGCGGGGGAAGTCCGTCGTCGCCGGGATTGCGAAGCGGACAATGACAAGTGCACAAGTGACAAATAACGAGTCGAGCGAACGGCGTAGAGACTGATGTCAATCTGTTCGCATGCACCGGAAGGTCGAGAAGTCTCACCGCATGTGCCGCAGTTGCTCGCAGACGTTCAGACGTTCGGCAGTGGTGGTCCGAACATTTCACGTACTCACTCGCATCCGGCCTGGGTGTGGCCAAGACTTGGCGCAGCGCAGCGCGTCATGGGCGCATGGGCACGCGTCGGAATGTCAAGTGCCCCGCGTAATTACGACGCCCCCTCCACAACTCTTCTCCATCTTCTCGTCTTCTCCGAACCCCTCCTGCCCATCAGATGCTCCAGATGTGCGCAGTGATGGCAGAATGCACAGTAACTATCCCCTTCTGACAAGCCTTACACCGTACATAGTGTGCGGACAGATGCGAGATGTAGGAGCTGCGGAAAAATGTCGATAACGGAAGTGTCATATCATCTCCCCCTCCGCCCCTTCTGCTTCACCCTCTCTCATCCAGCCCTCACGTCAGGGAATTGGATCAATCCGGTGAAAGACCCTTGTGCGGACCAGGCAGAACGGCGGGCACACACAGTGCCTGGCATCTTTAATCCGAGTTACCAGACGTTGCGCAAATAAAACATATGCGAGAGCTTCATCTGCTGGAATCAAACCACTCTTTTGTCATTTCACAGGTAGCATGCATGTCCATCCATCGTACTGTCTAAACAGAATACCTCGTCGTGTACATCATCTCGTGTCTCGTGCGCCGCACGCTAACGGCCCTCGGTCGGGCATCGCTCACGCCTCGGGCACCCCCCCGGCCCGCATTGCACTCCCTCTCGGTCAGTGCTCCGACCTCCGGCCTTCGGCCTTCGACCGTCACCTACTTTCCTCCATTCTCAAACTGCGCCGCAATCTTGCTCACGCTGCCCCTCTGGCTTCCATGCCCAGGAGCAGGCCGAGGCCCTCGGGCGCCCTTGGGGCCGCGGAGACGGGACGCCTCGCTGGACGTGTTGCGCTTGAGCCCGCCGGCGCCGGGGGCGGGGGCGATGATCTCGTCCGCCGCCGCCGTGCTGTGCACACTGTTTCGGGAGGGCGTGGTGCGGCCGCTCGTGGCCTCGATGGGGGATTCGGTCTTCTCGGCGACGGGAGCGGGGGCGGGGGCCGGGGCAGGAGTTGCAGACACGGGCGGGAGGGTCATTGCCGGCGAGACGGGGGAGGATCTCGCCTGGCGTGCCCAGGGGCGTCTTGAACTCTGGCTCGACAGGGGAGGCGGCCAGACCCTCCGGCTCGGCAACCTGCGTGGTCACGACCGGCGCCGTGGGCTTGGTCGGACTACCGAGCGAGGCGCGCTTGGCCTGCTGCGCGAGGAGTTCCTGCGGGTCGAAGTCCTTTGCCAGGTCGGAGCGCGAAATGCGCTGGTCGACCAGCGCCGTGCGCTTGCGGTACGGCATGACGCGGTCTGCCTGCGCCTTCTTCTTCTCGAGGAGGGCGGGGAAGACGTCGTCGTAGTGCTCCACCATGTCTGCCAGGAAGAGGCCGGGGGTGCGGTCCTGGATCGTGAGCTCCGTCTCGTACTGCGGGCGCAGGATGCAGCGGCCCGTCGATAAGGAGAGCTTGGTCGTGAAGATCTTGTCGGCCTCGGCGCTCGTGCTCGTGGACCGGATCAGACTGGGGTCAGCTTCGCCAATAAAGTCAGCTTACTCCTTGAAGTACTTGATGACCGTGTTGAGGGTGTAGAGCTGGGACGCGGGGAGACGGGCGAGCACCGAGCTGATCGCACTGCTCGTGTCGCGCTCGAGGTCCGCGCCGATCGAGGGGTAGACGGCCTTGGCGTCCTCCCATCCCTCCCAGCCGACGACGGGCGGGTTGAGCTCGAGGAGCCACAGCTTGACGGTCCCGCACACGATGGGCGAGTTGAACTTTTTCGCAATCGTCGCAACCTCGTCGGCAGTCAGCATCGGGCTGTTAACCGCTGCGCGCAGCATGTGGAGCTCCTCGAGCGGCACCTCGTAGATCCAGGAACGGCGGCGCTCCTCGGGGTCGAGCGCGGCACCGAGTTCCGTCGCGGCCTGGAGCAGACCCTCGAGGACGGCCGGGATGGCGTCCTTCGGGCGCGGGGGCGCGACAACCGACTTCCACGCCGTCTCGCCCGACCAGCGACGCAGGTCGATACCGAAATTGACGTCGGGGAGGTCACTCTCGACCGACTCGTAGATGTACGGCCTGGGGCGGAAGGGACCCGTCCGGTGTCCCTCGATCAGCGCCTTGAGGTCTGCCTCGGGGTTGAACGCCTGGACGCTGAGGGACGCGCTCTCCTGCAGATCGGCGAGACGCTTGGGGAGCTTGGCGAGGGCCTCCTCGTACTGCTTCAGGATGCCGCGGACGACGCCGAGACGCTCCCGCTCCCACTTCTCCCACACGCGCAAGCCACGCTCAATCTTCTCCTCGAGCTCGAGGCGCAGCGCCTCCGTCTCCCGGACCCCGTCGTGGTACGCGCTGTCCGCCTTGCCGGCCTCTCGCCGTAACCGGACGTGGGCGGGCTCGTCGCTGTGGCCCATCGAGCTGGGAAGGTAGTTTTTCAGGTACGCGGGGATGTGCGCAGAAGCAGACGCCATGGCGCTCGAGCTCGCCGTCGACAGGTCCTTGGTCGAGTAGCTGGGCATGTTGAGATTGTTCAACGAGCTTGTCAGCGAGTTCTGCAGCGTCGCCATGTTGTCCTGCGGGTCAATCTTGAGGATGAAGTACGTGTCGTCCGACGCTTCGAAACCGCGCCCGACGCCGCAGCGGCTCAGGTGGTTCATCCGGTGCAACTCGACAGCAGCGTCGACGCAGCGGTCCCACTCGCCGCCGAAACCCTCGACGTGGCGCGAGAGCCAGTCGACAAACTCAAAGCCGGAAAACGTCCTCTCGTACTGTCCGATGATGGTGCTGCGCTGGCGGCTCGCGAGCGCCGCACGAGTGCTGATGTCGCCATGGATCTGCGTGCCCATTGCCGCGTGCGTCTGGATGTATTGGTCAAAGCGGAGGAGGAGGTTGCGGAAGTCCTTGGCCGACAGCGTGAGACCCGAGAGCAGCACAGGCGATTGCGGCTGGGGCGGCAGCTCTGCCTCATCCTTGCCGGGCACCGGGGGCGGCATGTCCGATTGCATGATCGGCTGTCCGTCCGGGTCGGTCGGGGGAATGAACGCGTCCTCCTTGGGGCTCGCGGGCGACTCGGTGCCGGCAGGCGCCTTGTCGAGGTTGTCGAGCTTGAGCGCGGGAGGCGGCTGCTTGGCGCCATTCTCCTTCTTCTCGGGGATCGAGCCCAAGCTACTTCTTCCATCGACGCTGTCGCGGTTGCTCTTGAGCGGGGACGAGGGCACGCTGGCCTGGCGCAGCTTCTCGCTGATACGGTCGGCAACGGTGCCAGAGCGGCGGAGGGGCGACGCGGCCGCAGTCGAGTTCCTCGTAGGCGAAGGCGTGTACGAGTCGGCGGGCGCGCTGACGGCGGGCGCGAACTTGGCGTCGTCCTCGGAATCGTCCGCCGCGCGGCTCTTCACAATGTAGTTTTGCTTCAACTGGGCGTCAGTTACATACTTGGGGAACTTAACTCACGCCCATGAGCCGGTGCGCGCTCTTCTCCCACTCGGCAACGCTGCCGTTCTTGCCGAGCATGTCGTCGCGGGACGAGCCGATGCGCTCGTCATGGCGCGACCGCCACACGTTGAAGGGGACGAGGATCTTCTCCTCGAGCTCGATCGCGAGCGCGCGGTGTGCGTCGCCGCGTGCGCTGCTGCCGCCGCGCAGCGTCAGGAGCGTGTGCTGCAGACTCGACGTCGACTGGCGGTTCGCGCCCAGAGGCGGCTCCATCAGCGTCGCCGAGAGCTGGTGGTGCGCCCGGGCTTGTGACTGGGTGTTAGCGGCGAGCACGGAGCGAAGCGGAGTGCGGGCTGCGCGAAATGGACCACGAATAGATTCGCAATGGTCACGATCGGCGAGGGAAGCGTGCGTCGTGCGCGCGAAGCACTGGCTGATCCTGGCTCCAGAGGTCGGTTCGTGCAGCCCACACGGCACACCTCAACACACCTCGATGAAGGACGCGACATCCTTGTTCTCGATGGATCCAGCCTCGAGCTGGCGGAAGAGGACGTCGAGACCGGTCCTGTAGTCTGGGGACCAGAACGAGTTGTAGAACGACGGCGGCAGGGTGATCGGGGCCATGGTGCCGATTGCCGGGGTCGTGTGGTGGGGGCGTGGGCCAGGGGAGGCAAGAACAAGTGCGGAGTGTAGAGTGTAAAGAGTCGTGTAGTGTGGATTGGAAAAGGAAGAATAAGAAGGGTTGTCAAAGACAGACTTGTGACGTTGTGCTGTGCTTTGTTGTCCCAGGTGGTCGGTCGGGTGTGTGGTCGGGTGGATGGAACGCTTAAGCTTGGAGTGTGCACCTGGTGTATTGCATCCCACCCTGGGTCTGGGTCTCGAGTTGAACCGGGCCCAGCCAGCTCACCTGCGCCCAGCGTACCAGCGCCCGCTCCCCTTAAGCGATCACTGGATAATGAACACGTTTCGCAGTCCTCGTCATGGCTTTCTGACTGGTCCGGCCAAGTCGGCACGCGTCGAGAGGGTTCAGAGGGGGGCGTGTGCACTGTGTGCGACAGTGCGGGGTAGACGCGCCAGGTAACACTCGAGCGGGACCAAATCCATGCACATCGGGCGTTCGCAGCACCGCAATACCAGGGAACACAGGGACGACAGGGCGCGACAAAGCGACAGAGCGACCTTGTTTCAGGCACTGGGCGGACTGGATGCGCGAGGCACCTATCGAGCCTGACGACTGGGATACCGGACCAGCATACAGCATCGAGGTTGATCTGCAGCCCTTCGAGCAGTGCGGGTGCGAACACGAACACGAGCTTCTCAGATCCCATCCGAATTCTATATCTCCGATGCATGCTCTACGCTCTAGCTCACGGCTCCTATGCTTCTCTTCCTTCACTAGTTGACTGCAGTGCCTCTGCCAACTCATGCTCTAATACGTTCACTCACTCGCAGACTCGCTTCGCTCATCTGCTCGTCGCCTCGCTCATGACCCATTACCATACGTGTACCACGCCGCGCGTGTGTCGACTGCCTCGCGCCGCACCCCCCGCAGCGGATCGTCAAGGCACAGCCCGAGCTCGCGAATCACCCGCGCCTTGGCCTTGCCCAGCGTCTCGTACCGGATCGCATCGGGGACGACGCCCAGGCCGGCTAAAGCGGCAGCGCGCACCTTCTGTGAAATCAGTTAGCGATTGCATTCTTGCCAACTTCGGTCTTCCTCTCATCCCATTCTCCTGCCCTCTGAATGAGAATGATGCGGATGAGGGGATTCAGTATAGCTACGCTCGACCTCGCTTCGCTCGGTCTGCGCTCTACTCACGCCAATCTTTGACGTCCTGCCCGCCCTCAGCAGCCCATCGACAATCTCCTCCGCATGCTCGTGCAGCAGCTGGTCCGTCTCCGTCCTCGAGCTCGCCGTCTCGAGCACGCTCGTCAGCGCCGTAATGACGTTCTTCCTCTCCTCGGCGCTCTCAATAACAAGTGCGCGAAGGAGGATGGGGAGCAGCTGTGCCGTCAGCTTACCCTGTTTAGTTAGCTGTGTGGGGCAGACTCACCTTGCGCAGGTCGGAGAGATACAGCGAGGCCGGGACCAGGGGGAGCAGCGCAGCAAAGGCGAGGAGGTACGGTTCGCGCGCGGCGCCGCTCGCGCCCTCCTCACCAGCGAGCAGCTTGGGGAGGAGGAAGCTCCACAGCTTCTGCGCGTAGAGCATCTGTCTGTCAGCTTGAAACACACGCATAAGCTCACCTTCACGATCAGGTGGGAGCGGGGCTGCTTCCCCGGCGACTCGGCCAGAATGCCGAACGCGCTCGCCGTGGCGTGCGCCAGCGCGTCCTCGCTGCCGAGCAGAGAGAGCGCACGCTCTGAAGCAGTGTACGCCAGCTCGTTTCGAAGGAGCGTGAGCGCCTTCGTGATCTGATGTCAGCTTTGTACGTGACACGTTAGCTTACGTGGAAGTACACTTGCAGCGCGGCTTGGCGCTTGGCGGCCGGTTGCGAGGCGTCCGTGACTGTAGCCCAGATGGTCTCGAGAAGAGAAGGGAGAGAGGACAGCGAGGCAGCGTGCTTGTTCACGAACGCGGAGATCAGGTCCAGAGCCGCACGTTGCTGGAAGGCATTCTGCGCCGTGAGCGCCCACTCCACCTTGCTGGCGAGGAAGGCGTCGGCGTCGCTGAACGGCAGCACCGTTTCCGGCTTCAATCCCCTGACGAGGGCAGTGTACAGCGCGACGAGGTTGCGTTCCGCCTCAGAACCCTCAGAACCCTTTAGCGGCGGGGCGTCCTGGACCGCCTTCTCGTCGTAGACGACCTGCTTGAGCTGGCCATTCTCGAATCCAGCGTACGCCCGCTCAAAGATTGTCTTCTGCTTTCTGTTTGTCAGCTACGTGTTTACCCCATGTAGCTTACTCAGCGCTCTGTTCCCAGAAGAGGAGCTCGGTGATATCAGCGATGGAACGCAGGAGTCGCACGTCCCGGAACAGCGGGCGGTCGGCTGACTGCGCCGCAACGACGGCCAGTTGCGTGAATCGCGGCACAATCTCGGCATAGTACTTTGGCACATCGACGTGCTTGTCGCCCAGCTTTGCGTCGAGCACGACGCGGACAGCATGCAACAGGTCCCATGCGTACGCCGCCGTGCACTCCGCATCACCTGCAGCTGTCGAGAGCAGGTCGAGCTTGGTCGTGATGCGCACGACAAGGGTCTGGAATAGGGCTGGCGCGGCGCAGAGCTCGGTCAGAGCCTTCAGGACGCGGCGGTATGCTTCGCGCGCGGCCGAGTCGTCTGCTGCGGGCGCACTGTCAGGGAGGGCGTGGAAGAGGAGCGGCAGCGTAGAGTTCTGCACGATCGTCGGGTTCGACGCCGCAATCGACTTAAGTCCGCTCAGCGCCGCTGTGCGCACTTCCTCGTCATTGTCGTGTACGAGCAGGTTGTCGATACCCTTGACGAGTTCCTCGACCTGGAGCGCGTCAAGGAAGTCAGGGATCTCCGCCATCGCGACGGAACCGCGGATCGCGGCAGTCTTCAGCTGGTCTGTCCGCAGTCCCTCACGCATCACATCGAGCAGCGAGTCGCGGTATCGGTCAAGTGAGTGCTCGTCTGACTGCCGCCGCGTAGCGCCCTCAGCGCCGTACACTGACCGCGCAGCCAGGAGCAGCGTTGTGATTACGTTAATGAGCGGAACACGATACGACGGCAGCTTCGGCTCGTTGAAGTCGCGGAACAGCTGCGGCAGAGCCTGGGCCAGCGCGTAGGCTCCGGCAGAAGCTGACATCAGTTATACCTCGCGGAGCTTATACTTACGAGACGCTCTGATCATGGACGCGAGGCACTTGGCAAAGCCCGGCGCCGAGTTCTTCATCGGGTCGCTGAGTCCCTCGAGACTCTGCTTCACGATGAGCTCGCCGAGCCCCTTCGGAGCGTCAGACTGCGTCGGGTACAGCGTCCGCACGAGTGACTCGAGCGCCGTCAACGCCTAGTTCTCAATACCCTGGTCGGACGAGTACAGGATCTCCGTTTTCAGGCAATCGAAGAGCTCCTCGCCGCGCTCGCCTACCGCCTCAGCGCCGTACACCGGGAAACAGGCCGCCATCGTCTGCATGAGGTCGCGCTGTTGATTAGCTCGGCAAGAGAGCTCCGTAGCTCACCATCGTTTGTCCAGCCGATGTCGGATACTTCTCTAGGAACAGCGGCAGCGCTTGCTTCGCGAAATACGGCGAAGCAGACAGACAAGCTCGCAGCGCAGTCTTCAGGTCGTCGGACGTGATGCCGTATGGGTCGTTCGGTGGCGGGCGGAAGGTGATGGGGAAGTAGCAGAACGTGATGTCAAACATCTCCTGTACTGTCAGCTCTCTCAGGACCTTGAAGCTCACTTCAATCTGATCCTTGACGTTAAACTCGGAAAGGATCACCTTGTCTAGCTGGAACAGCAGCATGAGGTTGCGCGGGTCCTTCTCTCCATCGACCACCTTACTGTAGCTGTTGATGAACTCCGAGCTGATCGCCTTGAACGCTGCATGTCAGCTTGATGAGGTCTTGGTGAGCTTACCTCCCCGGTGTTTCGCCAGAAGCGAGTCGAACAGAACGTACACCTGATGCCGGACGGCTTGTGTGTACGCCTTCAGGTTCACCTGCTCGACGACACTTGATATCAGCTCGGCCGTCATCCCGCAACTTACCTCTTGTAAACGTCCACAGCAGCACCATCGTCGAAGGTCGGGAGCTTGGAGAGCTCCGTCAAAGCCGTGAGAGCTGGGGGCAATGAGTCAAAGTCGTCTAGCTTCGAGGAGAAGAATCCGGTCAAAGTGCGTGCTGACGTTAGCTGAGCCGAAGATGCTGCAACTCACTGGCCGGGCCATTGATCTTGGACTTGTTCACGGCCGCGATGGTGTTCGAGAGGAACGTGAGCCCTGATTTTGTTAGCTTACCTCACGGATTTCAAGCTACCTTTGACTCGCACATCATCCTCTGGCGAGGTGAGGAACTGCCCCAGAGCCTTCACTACAGAGAGAAGGGGAGTCTCGCCGCTGTCGATGCCTGTAGTCAGTTAGCGTAGCACCCAAACAAAACTGACTTTGGATCAGGCTCGACGACGGGTTGAGGTCCGAGGAGGACACCTGCGTCCTGATGTCGCGCTCAATGTCCATGGCGGCGGTCTTATCAGCAATGTGCAGCTAATCTCGCGCCCTCGAAACGTAACCCTCCTCAACTTCGGTAGAATGAAGCCGGCCTCCACCGGCTGCGCCGATCAACATTTTCTGACGTGGCTTTACGGGTCCGGTTGCGTGCCACCCAGGCGACCCAGATCCCTAGCCACGCACGCCACAGCGATAGGCGGTGTGATACGGGCCACGAGACGTCACTGATCTCTGACCGGACTGAGCGGAACGCGTTCATGTCATCGGCGCTGCATCACAACATATCCCACCGACGACACCCAGACTGAGCCGACACCAGAAATGTTCGAGCGCACCCTGCAGGACCTCATTAGAGGCTTGCGTGCCCACAAGGCAAGCTCGCGCGCTCAGGAAGAGGCATTTCTCAACGAGGCCATGGGTGAAATCCGGGAAGAGCTCAAGGGCAAGGACATGGCTCTGAAGGCAGAGGCTATTCTCAAGATGTGCTATGTAAGCTGGAGGGGGGATTCGGAAGCTGACATTCAGCTTATGATGCTGTACCCGATTGCTCCGCCCACTGGCTTTGCGTTCCACGTTGTCGAAACCATGAGCTCGCCGCGATACCACTTGAAGCGTAGGTGGCTACCGAAGATGCAAGCTGACGAGACAGAGCTGGGGTACACTGCCGCACCCATGGCCTTCACTGGTGATAGTGAGGAAGTCGTCCTGACTATCAACAGTATCAAGAAGGACCTGCTCTCACCTCACCTCGCCATCCCACCACTCCCGCTGTCCGCTCTTCCGCACATGCTTTCGCTGTCTCCGTCACTGGCGCAGACTCTGCAGCCCGAGCTGCTGATCCTTCTGACGCACTCGTCACCGAGAATCAGGAAGCGCGCGGTGCTCTGTCTGCTCCCGTGCTGGGAGTCGTACCCGGAAGGCTTACGCGAGGGCTTCCCTCGGCTACGAGAACGACTACTCGACGAGGACCAGAGCGTTATCGGCGCGACGGTCGGTGTCGTGATGGAACTCGCGCGAAAGCAGGGCGGCAAGAACTACCTTCCTCTTGCACCTGAGCTGTTCTCAATCTTGACAAACAGCAGCAACAACTGGATGCTAATCAAGGTCGTCAAGCTGGTGAGCTAGGTAACGGTGAGCAAGCTGACATCAGTTCGCCATTCTCACCCCGCTTGAGCCTCGATTGGTCCGCAAGCTTCTTCCTCCGTTGACGTCGCTGATTTCGTCAACATCGGCCATCTCTCTCCTTTACGAATGCGTCCGAACATGTATCGTTGGCGGCATGCTGGATCCCGATAGACCAGAGGGTGACGCTCTAGCCCGGGTATGCGTGGACAAGCTCGGCAGCTATCTCCGCGACGAAGGAGGTGACCAGAACCGTGAGCTTCGGAAGTGATGGGGAGAAGCTAACCTCAGTGCGATACATTGCGCTCTTGGCCATGGTGAAGATCACCCCGACACATCCTCACATGGTCGCCGAGTATCAGGATGAGATTCTAGAGAGCCTGGATGACGCCGACCTGTCTATCAGGATGCGAGCGCTTGAGCTGGTTACGGCAATGGTGAGTTGTCTGGATACCTCTATGCTAACTCTGATCAGGTGGACCGCGATAATCTCCAACACATCGCCGATCAACTGCTGGCTCACTTGGCTCCGGAGGAGTCGGCCAGCTCGCCTCTTCCGTCCGCCGCAGCTCAGCTCGCGGCCATTGCTGGTCGATCAACAGATGCCGCTGCGACTGCCAAGGACGTCTCGCTGTCGCCCGCTTATCGCCTACTCCTGACACAGCGGTTACTTGACATCATCTCGCACGACGTCTACAGCAACGTGACCGACTTTGAGTGGGTCGTCTCCGTGCTGGTCGACGTTGCGTATGTCAGCCACGTCAACGTTGGAGAGCGCATTCGAGAAACACTCCTGGATGTTGTGGGCCGAGTGAAGAGCGTCCGCGCTTACGCTGTCTCTGTTCTTGAGAAGGTCGTCGCTGATGACGACTTCCGGGAACGAGCCCAGGAGAATACTGGAGAGGATGGACTACTGGAGGCAGCTGTTTGGATTTGTGGAGAGTACTCCAGCAACCTCACTTCTCCGCTCAGCACGATTCACAACCTCTTGCCTCCTTCCCTCGTCCACTCTTCACCTCAGCTCATCGCCTTGTCCATCCACGCCGCTGCCAAGGTATTCGGTCACTACGCTGCCCACGTGTCAAACTCGTGGAACGCTGAGGCTCACCAGGAGCTCAAGAACTTGGTCGCCAGTATCACGGCTGGACTTGAGCCGTTCGTTACCTCGCCGCACATCGAGGTCCAAGAGCGCGCCGTGGAGATCACGCAGCTTCTGGGCTTCGTCAACGCGGACCTCCAAAGCCATGTGCCGCCAAAGCATGTCGTCGAGTCGATTCCAGGGATGGAGGGAGGCTTCGAGGCGGAAGCCAAGTCAGGCGCCGACCCGTCATACCCGAAGTCGCTGTACTTGCTGGAACCGCTGTTCTCGGCACATGAGCTGAACTCGGTCGGCTACCGTGCACAGGAAGCGGTTAGAATACCCGACGGCCTGAATCTCGACCTCACCATCGTGCCCAACTCTGGTTTCTCTGACGAGAAGGAGGATGAACTCGACACTGATTCCGAGCCGGAAGAGGCGATCGATCTCGGTCACGGTGGCGGCGCCGGCATGGACGAGCTCCGAAGAGTTCTCCGCGAGCAAGATCGCAGTCGGAAGGGCAAGAAGAAGGGCAAGAAGGAGGATGAGACTCAGGAGGAGCGCGCGGAGCGTCTTAGAGTAAGTTGCGGTCGCGACGTTGATTAACTGACTCGCAGCGCAAAGCTGCCCGGCGGGAGAAGCACAAGAACGATCCATACTATCTCTACGACGACAAGGCCGGCGACGATGACGACGTCGACGACATCCCAATTGTCAAGCTGGACGACGAGGATCTCGAGGCTTCCGGTAGGTTGTGACTCTGGTCTTGCTAACCTTCAGCTTCCCCAGTGCCGCAAGAAAAGCCGAAGAAGAAGAAGAAAAAGGCAGCCGCGCCGCCAGTCTTCGATCGCGGCGGCGAGATGCCCGAGGGCGCCGCCCCGCTCCCCGACGTGGAGAAGGTGCGCACGGGTCTGGCGGCCGTCGATCTGTCCGACGTTGCTTCGGGCTCGCACACGCCTGTGTCGCGATACGAGGAGTATACGTTCGATGACGAGGGACCAGGCACACCCGCAACGCCAGCGACCCCGGCTGACGTCCCGGCTGAGGAGACCCAGGCTGTCAAGGTCACCAAGGTCCGGAAGAAGAAGAAGGACGGCGTCAAGAAGAAGAAGAAGGTCGAGGTCGTGTAGGGTACATATTCACACATTTGCATTGCATTTTTACGGCGTATAGCCGAAGGATCAAAGGGGGGAAGAATGGCGGCCGATCGATCGAGAGGTGCGCCTTCCTCGCCGCCGCCATGTACCTCTGACACACTGAAAGAGGGCGATCTTGTCTCACATGTCTCACATACGAACTTTCGCTTATTCACTTTTGATGTCTTGATCTTACCCATCCTGATTTTACGACACTCAGAACGCGCTCCACTCATCTCCCGCACGCCCAAACTTTGCTTCGATGGTCGCCTTGATATTCTCCAAGCCCCTCTTCTCGCTGGTGAGTCGGCTACGCTTTGCGATGGTGTCGTGATCGGCATCGAGCACAGTGGCAATACGGCGCTTGTGCTCTTCGTCCACTCGGTCCATACCGAACGCGGCGCGGAGGACAGACTGCGTCTCCCGGATGCAGCGGAGCATCTCGACGCTCACTGTGTTCGCGACGTATTCCAGTAAGCTGTTGCTGCCGTGCTTCATGCGGATGATCGTCATTGCAGCGGTCTCGCAGCAGAGGCGGCGGTATCGAGGTGGCCACTTGGCCGGTGAAGCGTCGGTGGGGAAGATTAGGTGGTCCGGGGTTTCACTGCCATCTTTCTCGCTCGTCGCTTCTCTCGGCCACTCCTTCTCAATGGTCTCGGCCATGGCAGCGACAGCCTTTACGAAGGCTGAGCCCGACAGACCAAGCGAGAGATCCTGTCGCGACATCACCAACTCCGTGTATGCGGAGATCTGGGCGTCGACGGCACTCCTGAAGAGCTGGCGCTGCCTATCCATCGCCAGTCTACCATCAGCTCACCGCAGTTCTGGCTACTTACAGAAGACGACCCTTGGCTCCCGTTTTGGTGCCGCAGATCTCACCTACGATGCCTCTCACGAAGGCTTGATACTCCGTCCCAGAACTTGTGGTTTGCATGCTTGGCCAGGCCCTCCCAGTCCGAGCGGTCGCTGAGCTCATGCACAGCCAGAGAGACTGAGGGGAGGTGGCGCTCGCGGGGATTGGCATTTCTGTGGAAGGTCAGGGCCCTCCAGGCTAAAGACACTCACTTGCGAAGCGCCTCATCGACGTCCTTGGCCGTTAGCCGTTTGATGGACTCCCCCGTGTTTGAATCCTCCCCACCTGCCACTGCAGAGACGGGAATAGTGGCTTCCAAGTCCTGCTGCAGGCTATTCCGCACCTGCATGAGGGCGTCAATGAACTTGGCGTCCGTCTGGAAGGCTTGCTCCAGGGCGCGCGAGATGGGACCGACGAGGTTCTGGAGGAGGATGGGCACTCCATCAGTGATTTCGGAAGGCAACTTGTGCAGAGAGTCTTTCGTCCGTTGGAGGTGCTCGTGCACATGCTGGCGCAGTTGCGGGACGCTGCCATCAGCTTTGCTCGAGGTGTCGACTCACTTTGCAACGACGACATCCTCGTACAGCTCGTAGATGAACTCGCTGGTCGGCTCCCAACCCAGCGGCCGCCCGCACATCTCCGACAAGCGCTTCAAGTTTCCAGTCGCGAATTCGCGCCTCTGGTTCTCCAGCCACGTTGCGGTAGGTTGATCCGCCTCGGCCGAGTTCTTCATCCGGAGCGGGTGCCACCCGTGCTCCGGGATTGTCACATTGACAGACTCAACGTTCTCCATTCCGCATACAAGATCCGAGGTAGGCGGCTCATGAGGTGCGTCCTCGTGGTCGATCTTGTTGAGAATGCCTGACATGAGAACCAGCAGCATGAGGTTTCTCACCGATGACATTCTTGAAGCCAGGCTTGCAGCTCCCAACCAGCTTGAAAATGGGCTGATGATCCGATGGGTCCTCTGGGCGTCAGTTGCGACAACAGGCCCATCAACTCACCTCCGCCGATCGCATGGATCAAGACGACGAGACACTCAGGTCGGCTCAGATACTTTGAGTACATTCCTGATGTCAGCCACGCGCCGTCCGACAGCGATACACACGCCTCAGCTTGTCCTCCTCAGCATGACCGAGTCCTGCCAGTTAGACATGTCTAGGAGGGAGGGGCCTACCGGGAAGGTCGATGGCGCTGATGTTCCTCTGATCGGGGCCAGTGACCTGGAGTCAGTCCTTGCCTTTGCTTACACACATCACGCCTCACTCACACGCAGGGCGACCTTGTTCTCGGTAAGTTTCGGCCGGCTTACCGACCCTGCCATTCTTTCCTCCTCTGACATTCCTTTCCACTCTTCCCACGTCCGAATGGGACTGCCCACGTTGGCCTCGAGACGACGAGCTTCTTCTCCAGCGAGTCGGGCGACTAACTGCAGGTCTCTCGGATCGGTAACTGGGTTCTCGGTGAACAGGCTGACGATCTGATGCCCGTCAAGACTGCTAGAGTGAACGATCCTGGCGACGGCTTCGAAGCGATCTCCGCCTCTGCGGCAGTAGATCGAGGTTGGTCCACTGTTTCATCAGCAAACTGGCGAGGTGACTGCTCACTGGGTAGCCAGTCCACGGCCGCAGTGCAAAGGTACCTGCGGTCAGAAGCTGACGGACTAATCAAGCTCACCCCCACGAGAGCTGAGAGACTGGTGTAAGCTCACGAAGCAGCGATTTTAGCTCACAAGCTGCTCTTCCCCCCCGACTGTCCACCCGCAACGGCCACCAGGGGATGAGGCAAGCCCTCACTGTAGATCAGTACTAACGCTCGGATTCACTTACTGATGCAGGGCGACGAGCTGATCCTGAACATGAAAGGCGCACTCGACCTCGCTCTCAACGCGTGCTGCCAAGGCGCCGAGGCCGCTGGCCATGCTGATGGAGTTCCGAGGCGATGGCAACGGGGTAAGAAGCGGCATGTCGACCCTCAGTTACTGCTCGACAGAGATGGCGAGAAAGAGAGGTGTGTTCATGCGGGGCAAGCCTCTCATGAGAAGAATGGTCTCACTAGCGGTCCTCTGGAACGGGGCGGAGGACGACGGTCCAGTCAACTCGAGGTAAGTGGTGAGTGCATCTCGTGACCATGCGGGAGTGCGACGAGTGAGTGAAGGGGCGCCGCGATCGAGTGTCAAGCGTGAGGGAAGTTGGTAGCGGCGCCCTTTACACCAACTGGCTGTGCCGTCAGACCAGGAGGAGTATCAAGATTTGAGCTTTCGAGACTGGAAAGAACATTGGAGAGTGACAAGGAAGAGGAGCAAGTTGGGAGTGAGAGGCAGACGTGACCAGTCTAGCTCTCAACGCAAAGTAGACTGCCAACGAGGCTGGCGCGGTATCAGATACCCCTCTCTCGGGTAGTATCACGTTTCTACCGAGCCGGCGGTCCAAGATCGGGAGGGTGCACCTCCGCATCGGCATCCCCATACCTCGTCTGTGCGTCCCAATGCTGTGACCGGAGAGTCTCAGAATCTGGAAGCCCAACAATGGCCAAGGCGAGATTGCGCGATCGACGAGAAAGTGAGCGCTCGGACCGTGTGGACGTTCATGGACGCGTCGAGGCTCAGCGACACGAGTGATCGAGGGCCAAGCACGGTGAAATCCGAACGGAATCTAAAGCCCGGTCTGCCGGGGAAAGAAGGGTAGCAGGGTACGTCACCGAGCGGGGGACCCGCACTGCAGGCACAACTCCCAAGGGAGAGATGGGGGTGTGCCGAGAAGAAGCCGACCCAGGCCGAGGTTTTGATTTGAGATTTCGGCGAATTCCCTGGGCAGCCATTTGAGATCGGCACCAGGTCTTTGAGATAGTGGCTGGGGTCTTTGAGATCGCGAGCACTTCTCTCAAACTCGCGAGAACGACTTCTCAAACGGCGAAACTGGGTCCTACATCCTTGACGTTATTAGAACACGTTGGCGCATCCGGCAGCGGAAAGTGCATCGGAGTGTTCAGCTCGGTGTCGGAGAGTGCATGCCGCGCTGTCGTCCACGGCGACGGTGCTAGAGAGTGTCGGAGACCATGCTGGATGTTGCGGTGACTGGGCCGGAGCCTCGGTCCGAACAGTGGCAGTGAAGCAGGATGGTGTACGTGAAAACAGCGCTATTGCAGAGGCCGCTGACGCCCATTGTTATGCACGGCGACGCTGGGCAGCAAGTGATGGGGAAGTCTGGCAAACCTCGGCGTTTCCGGATACACACTGTATGCTAGTGCGTGCCTGCGGCAACGCACATGCACGCCGTGTCAGAAGTTGCTGGGTAATCTTGGCTCGTAACGAGGGTGGGCACCCGCTTCGTTCCAGGTGGCAGGTGGGCTGGCTGGCCCCGTGAGCCCCGTGAACCACAGGGGCAAAGTATGCACATGCTCTCAGCGCCGCGTCGCCCAGTTTCGCCCAGCTTCGGCTGGATCAGATGACGCCCGCGGAGTATGCGGCGTGCCTGGTGGTTTGATAGTGAGGATGAGATCCGACTCGGAATGTCCGTGATCATCTGACCACAGTCGACTGCCGGCGGCCAGGCCGAGTCCCCGTGGGCTAGATGGATGTTCTCAGGTCCACAAGCCGCATGCAGCCGCATCGCAGTTCCCACCTCTGGCATCAACGATGCTGCAGCACATGCTACGAGATGCCCAGACGGGACATCGGCCGTTCCCAGGCTATATAAGACAGTCTCTTGTGGTCCGAGACAGACTCCATCCTCCCACGACTTCTCCTCCTCTCACAACAACAACAACACCACAACAACAGCACCATGGCTCCCAAGGTCCTCATCATCCTCTACGACGGCGGCGAGGCTGCCCGCAACCAGCCCAAGCTCCTCGGTACCACTGAGAACCGCCTTGGCATGTACGACTGGCTCGTCCAGCAGGGCTGCACGTGAGTTACCCACTCCTCATCGTGAACTGACCATCCCAGCGTCGTCGTGACCTCGGACAAGGAGGGTCCCAACTCTGTCTTCCGCAAGGAGATTGTCGACACCGAGATCCTGATCACTACCCCCTTCCACCCGGGCTACCTCTCGAAGGAGATCATGGACACTGCCAAGAACCTCAAGCTCTGCGTCACTGCCGGTGTCGGCTCTGACCACATCGACCTCGCTGCCGCCAACGAGCGCAAGATTACCGTCGCCGAGGTCTCTGGTTCGAACGTCGTCTCCGTCGCCGAGCAGGTCGTCATGACGATGCTGAACCTGGTGCGCAACTTTGTGCCCGCGCACGAGCAGATCATCTCTGGCGGCTGGAACGTCGCCGAGATCGCGCAGGACGCGTACGACCTCGAGGGCAAGGTGATCGGCACCATTGGTTGCGGCCGCATCGGCTACCGTGTGCTGCAGCGTCTCGAGGCGTTCAACCCGAAGGAGCTCCTTTGGTTCGACTACACGGACCTGCCCGCCGACGCGGCCAAGGCGATCAACGCGCGCCGCGTCGACACGCTCGACGAGCTGCTCAAGACCTGCGACGTCATCACGGTCAACTGCCCGCTGCACGAGCAGACGCGCGGCCTCATCAACGCCGACAAGCTCGCCATGATGAAGAAGGGCGCGTGGCTCGTCAACACGGCCCGCGGCGCCATCTGCGACCGCATGGCCGTCGTCAAGGCCCTCGAGTCCGGCCACCTGAACGGCTACGGAGGCGACGTCTGGGACGTCCAGCCCGCGCCCCCCGACCACCCCTGGCGCACCATGCGCAACCCCCTCGGATGCGGAAACGCCATGACCGCCCACTACTCCGGCACCACCCTCGATGCCCAGAAGCGCTACGCCGAGGGCACCAAGGACATCGTCGACAGGTACCTCCAGGGCAAGCCCCAGAACCCCGCCAACGTCATTGTCGAGAACGGCCAGTACGCCTCCAAGGCTTACGGACAGCGCAAGTAGACCTGAGCGCCGAAGGCGCGAAGGCTTCCTGCTTCCTCGCCGCAAAACTATTTCAGTAGTGTCAAGTGTATCGCATGAAGTATCTCGCATCTCATACAACCTGGCTGCAGTGGTACTGACAGCTCCCGCAACTGACGCAGCAGTGATTGAGCTGGCTCTTTGCTCAAACCAACACTGGATCTTCGAGTCGGAGCTCCCAGACGAAGCACCTCAGCGATGAACCGAAGACGTTCTCAGGTGTACCAACATGACGTGTAGCTGTGAGAGCTTCGTGCAAGGCACCATCGCCAGTCGGTCCAGAGCCAGTGTCTGGTCGGTGTCTGTTCGGGCATAGCCGACGGTAGATTGTCAGCCGTCCCTCACCTCCGCCGGAATCACGGGTCGAGCAGTCCATCCAGCTCAGTGGCAGCTAATATTAGACCTGTACAGAAGCGAACAGAAGCAGCTCGCTTTCCCCGCCACAGAAATGTCCACGCAGCCATTGAGTCCCAGCATAGCCCGGTGTTCTAATCCGGGCCAGGCAGTGCAGAGGCGCAAAGGGTCGGCAACTTGCCCCACCGATCCACCCTTGTACCTTATCGTCGCATGCCGTCTCCATCGCTTCCTCTTCAGACATTGATTCAGACCTGATTCAGAGTACATTGTTACATGTGTATAAATCGACAACAATTTTGTGATAAAACTTTGATCCCCTTCTTTGCCCTTTCTTCGTTTCTTGTGAATTGAACCGTGCTACGTTCTACGTGCCGTCGTGAGGACCCGCCGTGCCTCTCACGCCTCTCGCGTGGCGGTCGAAGCTTGTCCGAATCTCGTCCGAAGCTTGGCTCGGTCTCGGCGTGAACTCGGAAGTGATGATGTGAACTGCGTCGGAATTCTGGGGTCCTCGCAACGGGCGCGACGGGCATGATATGTCTTGAATGTTCGTTATGATGTGGAGGGTGATGGTGGGGTGGAGCCAAGTGGCTCCATGCCCTGTTCCCAGGGCGCCGTGCTGAGCCTGATGATGCTGCGCGCTGCGTCGTGGGTGGAGGTAGTGACGTTTGCTGATGAGGGGGGGTGAAAAGACGTAACGAGGGCGTCTGCGCGTCTCCTCGCTGCGTGTTGGAACGGAACGGGTCGCTCTCGGGATCTCGCATCCTCGCCCTTCCGCGCTCTCGCGCTCACGCTCACGCCCGAGCCTAGCTTAAGCCCAGCTCGTCTTCGCCCTCCCCTGCACAATGTGCATCTGCACCCGCCGGCCCCCAATGTCCGTGTTGTCGCCCGCCTGCCTGTCCGGCTCGACGAGACCGTGATGCACCGTATCGGGCACCCACCAGTGGGTCTCGTTATGGAAGCTGCCGCCTTGCGGAACGGGTACCTCGACGTGACGTTTGGCCAGGTTTGGAGCCGCCGCGCCGGGGGTGGGGAGCTCGCGCTTGTGGTGCGCGTGGTCGCGGGCGTCGCGGTGGGGTATCGGCAATGCCGTCGTGAGGGCGAGTGCGGCGAGGAGGAGAGGGGTGCGGAGCATCATTGTGGGGACTGCGCAGGAGTTCGTAGCGGCGATGCGAAGGGTAATAGCAGTGCTGGTGATGGAGGTGCTGGGTAGATCGAGTGCTGGGTAGACCGAGTGCTGGGTACTGAAGAAAGAAGAAAGAGAAAGGCCCGGGGGAGACGTAGCATCACATCACAATGGAGGGTATATATAGCGACGTCGTAGCGAACCGGGCATGGATATCCGATTGGCAGCATGGAGATGAGTGGAGTGCTGCAAGTGAAGGGTCAGTCGATCGTGCGACGGGGTTCTCGACCGCCGTCAGCCGTCATGTGAGTGTGAATGTGAGACCTACGTCATGCCGCGCAACTGTAACGAGGCTCACCCAACGTCAGTGGCTCGATCATTCCTATCGACATGCCGAGAACGCCCTTCCTCTGCTTCTAAAGACACATGCATGCATTCCGTGCATGTTCATGCTGTCATGATTGTGTGCATATGCAGTCTCGCGACACATTTCTGAACACTGTAGAAGGAAAGACACACACCCTCTAGCGACGGCAACCGCCAGCTTCTGGCAGCCGACACCCATATCCGGTCTTGCTCGTCATGTGCTGCGAACCGGCCTTCTCGCTCGCCAGGGACTGCGCCATTCGGCCTCGGTCGCTCCCCTCGATCTTCCCAGTCTCACCCACAGCTTGGCTTCTCGCCCCCCCCTCCCCCGATTCCCAGTCTCACCTCCACCGATTGTTGAATGCAAGAGGCGGCCAGCCTTCTTACCCCGCCCCCGGTTCCAATAGAGCCCCAGGGTTACCCACGCGTCGTCGCCATCCTCGCCCCATCCTCGCCCCTGAGCACTTCCTTCCAAATGGCAGCCGACGAAAGTGATCGGAATGCCGCCCACTCCGTCAGCCATGCAGCATGTCGTGACTTCCGCTTCCGTGCGAGAACGCGGAAATGCTTTCCGGTGGAGCTGTTGCCGCCCAACATCTTTGCTCTTTGCAGCCAACTCCTGAATTACTTGTACATGAATCCGACAAACTACACTCTACATACGACTTTTGGGCGGCTCGGCGGGGTGCGCGTCGCCGTCCTGACTTCAGATCTTGATGTGGTTCTTCTCGAGGTTCTTCTTGAGCTCGTCGTCGTTGATCTGCTTCTGCTTCTTGTTCTCCTCAGGCGTGACGAGGACAAAGTCGCGCTCGAGGAGCCAGAACTCGTCGCTCTTGAAGCCGTACTTTTGCGCCTGCGCCTTGTCCTTGACCTGCTGCGGGTCGGTGATCAGCGACGACTTGACGCCAAACACGGCGTCGGACGTGATAAAGATGTCGCCCTTGAAGTAGAGCGAGGTGATGAGCTCGACAAAGCCCTTGGCCTGGAACATCATGTGCAGGTGCGAGGGACGGAAGACGTGTCGTCCCATCGAGCGGAGGAGCTGACCGACAGGTCCGTCATTCGGGATCGGGTACGCCACGGGCTTGACGCAGCGGAAGGCGTAGTAGCCGTCGTCGTCTGTGTACAGGCGGCCGCGGCAGTCCTGCTCGTACTCGGCGTACTGCGTGTCGTAGAAGCCGTCCTCGTCCGTCTCCCACGTCTCGATCAGGCAGTGCGCGATGCCCTTGCCAGAAGTGTCCGTGATGCGGCCCTTGACGAGCATCGGCTCGCCCTTGTCCTCGGACGCAATGGCGTCGCCGTTCTCAACCTGTATGTCAGCTTTGAACACAAATCTGTTTAGCTGCGAAACGTACGGTACGGGCATCCTCAACGAAAAACGGGCCGAGCACGGTCGACTCGGTAGCACCCTTGGGCTTGGGGTGGTTGATCGTGTCAACGAGCGCCGAAACACCGAAAGCGTCAGACAGCAGGATGAACTCCTGACGAAGGTCGGTGCAGGTCTGTCCCGTCTTGGTGAGGAACTGGATCGCGTTCCTGCCTGTCAGCTTGGGAACCAACTTTCAGCTGAGCGCACTCACATCCACTCCTCCGTCGTGAGGTTTGTCTCCTTGACGTAGGTGTGCATGTACTGCACGAGACGCTCGAGGAGGTACTTGCGGCGCTCGTTCTTATCGAGCGAGTTGATCGCGACAACGTTCTCGGTGAGCTTGTCGGGGCTCATGTCCTGGAGGTTGGGGAGCTCGTTGAGGTCGACATCGGGGGCGCCGCGCTGGATGGCGTCGACGATCGCCTTGCCGACGTGAGGGTAGTCAGAGACCTTGGGCATGATTGTTCGTGTGCTGGAAATGTGTTGGCGCGAGGTTGTCATGGAATCGGATGGCTATAAGAGGTCGAGTGGACTGATTGCGAGCGGGGACTTTGCGGCGTCTTCCCTTTCCGGCTGACCCGGGGCCGAGATATGCGGCGGTCAACGACGCCACTGTTCTGCGGTATTCTGATGACTGCGGGGTGGGCGGAATTCACACCGCCGGGTCCCGATCGGCCCCTCCGACCACCAACGACGACTAACCATCCGCTCACGATGAGATATCTTTGTCAGCGCTCGGCTTTCGTACTTTATCACACTACCTGTGCAATCGCTCCCCCCCACATCCCCATCAACTGACCTCTAAAACGCCAGAAATAACGCTTAAGACAAGCGCCCCGTCAAGCTGTTCCAGACACTCCGCCGCCTCTCCAACACTGCTCGAATCGTCATGAAGCCGTTCACGTTCGAAGCTCACATCCCCCGCACCGTTTTCGGCTCGGGCACGCTGGACAAGATCCCCGAGGAGATCGAGCGTCTCGGTGCCCAGCGCGTTCTGCTCGTCACGGAGAACACGGACCGCCAGCGCGCGCTCGCGGACAAGGTCAAGGGCCTGCTTGGTGACAAGGTCGTCGGCATGTGAGTTGACCGAGTGATGTCGGATCGGTGGGCGGGGACTTTTCCGCGACAGGCAGAGTTATTCGCCGCAGATCTATGCTTGATGATCTAAGCTGGGATCTGGATCGGGCTGTAGCTGGACGATTGCGCTTGCCGCGATCGGACTGCAGCTGCACGGGGGAAGGTGGGATGACGGATGGAGGCGTCGTCTATACGGACCGATGGGGGGGCCAATCGCTGACAAACTAGCTGCACCGACGCGGTCATGCACACCCCCGAGGAGGTCACGCTCAAGGCGCTCGAGCAGGCCAAGTCGGTCAACGCTGACTGCTACGTGAGTCTACCTTCCCCGTCATCACTCTCCAGGAGGCATGGGAAGGTACCGCAATCAGGCGTGAACGCCGCCATCCCGAGATAACTCTCGCTTGCAACCCATGACTAACCCCAGGTCTCTCTCGGTGGTGGCTCCACCATCGGTCTCGGCAAGGCGCTCACGATCCGGACTGGCGGCAAGCACCTCGCCGTCCCGACGACCTACGCCGGCTCGGAGGCCACGCCGGTCCTCGGCGAGACCGTGAACAAGGTCAAGACGACTCGTTCGGATCCCAAGATACTGCCCAACACGATCGTGTACGACGTCGACCTGACGCTCTCGCTGCCGCAGCAGCTGACGTACACGTCTGGCATCAACGCGATGGCGCACTGCGTCGAGGCGCTGTGGTCGGTTGGCAACAACCCCGTCATTGACGGCATTGCCTGCAGTGGAATCCAGGACCTGGCCAGTGCCCTGCGGAAGCTGAAGGACACGCCGAACGACATGGACGCGCGCGGCAAGGCGACGTCTGGCGCGTTCGTGGCCGGTGTGTGCCTCGCCCACGTCCCCATGGCGATCCACCACAAGCTCTGCCACACGCTCGGCGGCAGCTTCGGGCTCCCGCACTCGGAGACGCACACCGTCATCCTCCCCCACGCTATTGCTTACAACGCCAAGGCCGCGCCCGAGGCCATGGAGAAGATCAAGCGCGCCCTCGGCACGGACAAGGACGCCGCGACTGGCGTCTACGACCTCGAGAAGGAGCTCGGCACAGTCACCAGCCTGAAGGAGCTCGGCATGAAGAAGGAGGATCTCGAGAAGGCGGCAGAGATCGCGTGCAAGGCCCAGTACCCCAACCCCGAGCCGCTGGAGAAGGGCAAGCTTCTCCAGCTGCTCGAGAACGCATGGGAGGGCAAGCCGCCCCAGTCTACTTGACTCGCAAAGCTGTGAGAGACTGCGAGCAGCGAAGCCGCGAGGGGCCGCAAAGTATAGAAGAAAACTGACTGTACATCACAATGTATTGTTTCGCCTAGGCTACACTCCCACGGAGCATGACCCGATCTTGGGACTATGTAAATTGGCGGACTCCCTCAGAGCTCCCCGCCATTGTCCGTGTTGACGAGGACGAAGCGATAGCGCGGCTCGCCCCTGTTGAACGCCTCGATGGCCTTGTTGATGTCGCTAAACTCCCACAGCTGAACCCAAGGCTTGACGCCTGTCTTGGCGCACAGCTCCAAGAGCGCCTTGATATCCTGGGGAGCACCGAGGGCAGAGCCGACGACGCCCTTCTGGCCGAGAATCAGGCCGATCGGATCAATAACGAGCGGCTTGTGGGGGATGCCGAGGGGGACAAACAGGCCACCGGCGGAGAGGAGCGTGAAGTAGGCATCGACGTCGAGGTCGGGCGGGTTGATCGTGCAAATGATCAGATCGAGGGAACCCTGGTGCTTCTCAAAGTCCTTCTTGAGGTCCGAGCCGGTGGCGATGTAATGCTTTGCGCCGAGCTTGCGTGCGTCTTCTTCTTTCGAGTTGCCGCGCGAGATGGCAGTGACGTCCGCCCCGAGCGCGGCTGCGAGCTGGATGCCCAGGTGGCCCAGGCCGCCGAGCCCAATGACGCCAACGCGATTGCGCTCTTTGCCGGCGCCAAAGCGGCGCAGGGGCGTGAAGACAGTCGTGCCGGCGCAAAACAGCGGTCCGGCACTGGCCAACTCGACGCCGTCGGGAATCTTGAAGGCGAAACGCGCATTGCCGCGCCACTGCTTTGCGAACCCGCCTTGCCCCAGGCGGCCCTTGGCCTTGCCGCGCTTGTAGGGGCCTTGGATCATGCCGATCGTGAAGGTGAGGCCGGGGCACATGTGCTCATCCCCCCGCTCACAGGCGGGGCAGTGCGTGCAACAATCGCATTGCCCGCCCACACCGACGTGGTCGCTCACGCGGAGGTGCTTGACCTCGGGACCGACGCGGGTTACCGTGCCGATGATCTCGTGCCCGCACACTTCCTCGTGCACGGGACCGTAGGCGCCGGAGAGCACGCCGACGTCGCTCGAACAGAGGCCGCAGTACAGGACCTTGACTGGAGGTTAGCTGAGTGCTTTACCAGAACATCTAGTAAGCAGAGGCGAGAGAGGGGTGGAAGGCTATCAAGGGATGGGCTGGGAGAAGGACGGACTCACCATCAATGTCGTAGTCTTCGATAGGCTTCGCGTCCAGCTTGCCGAACTGGAGCGGCTTCTGGGGGTCGTTCGAGTACCAAGCGTCGATCTGAGTGAAGGGTTCGCCCATGGTTGCTTTCTGGGGTGAGGAATAGAGCAGCACAACAGCTCAGTTGCGCTGTTTATATGCCTGTTCTCACAGACTGATGTCGCATGCCGCAACAACCTTGGGATCGGTGGGATCGGTGGAGGTGTGTAGGTCGGTTCCAGGGCGATCCGCAGCTTGCTTCTTGCGCCCCTCTTGGCTGTGTGGCTGTAGATGTGTCATACAGTCTCAGCGAGTCTCATGACCTTCGGCAGCGGAATGACGCTAGCCCGCAGTCTTCTCTGCCGTACATAGCGTGCGCTTCCTGTGCCGAAGTCTGACGCTGATGCCGTGCGCCGAACGTCAGACCTTCGGCGTACAGACATTGACCAGGCACGAGACTATTCGACCCCCAATCCTCGGCCTTCAAGCCTGCGGCCCTCCACCGGCACGATCAAGGCAGGGACCGGCGGGCCTCCACCTCCACCCTCCACTCTCCAGAACTAGAACAAGGTGAAGGCCAGATGACCGGGAGGTGTGGAGGATCTGGTGGCGCACGTCCACGGCTTGGGAAGTTGGATCGCGATCCATTGTCTGACTATCTTGCCAAGAGATGCGTCTGACTAATTCTTCGGACTGACGGAATCTCCCGAACTATAGACCACCGAGCTCCGCCGGGTTCTCGGATAGATCATAGATACATTCGGCATAAATTTCAGATGTTACAGTTCACTCACAAAGCCGACGGACCACGCAGCTTGTCGTGCAGCACGAACGCGTTGTGCTCCTCGACCCACCTCTTCCACTGTGCCATGTACGGCTCCAGATCTTCGCCCGCATCCTCGGCCTCGCGCAGGTAGCGCCGGAGCGTGTCCATCTTCTCGCGCACTTCGTTGATGAGCACCGGCGTCAAGCGCGCGACGAGGCTCAGGTCCGTGTCGAGCGTGATTGGGGGCGCGACGAGGGCGGGATGCGCTTCCATGAACGCCACGACGTCGGACAGCGTCGTTGCATGTTCTGAGCTCGCGGCGGGGGAGCTGTGGCGCGCGGCAGAGGTGCGCGGTTCCTGAGGTCAGTTGTGCGAAAAGAGGCGTCAACTTGCCTCCATGATTGGGTCTGAGTTCTGCATGTCAGTTCGGGAAGATTCCACAGGTAACTTACAGTCTCGCTACGCTTGCTCAGTGTCGCCGCGCGGCCACGGTCTCCATTCGTCTTCTTCAGCTCCTGGTTTTGTCAGCTCTACGCTCTGAGGCCCAGCTCACCCAAGCCCTCTTCTTCTCCGGCGAGACACGCCTGGGCATCGCCAGCAGCTTCGCCTTAGACTTTTCATTCTTGACCTGCTGCGCGTACGAGAGGTATTTCTGAGGTCAGCTGCACTTTGCAACTCGAAGCAGCTAACCTTCTTGATCTGTGCAATGGTAAGTCTCTCGGCCTGGAGTGCGGCCAGCTTGGCGGTCGGCTGGTGTACGTCCGATGAGGGCGGGTCGACGGACGCAGGCTCGTCGGCCTCGGGCGACTGCACCGTGAACTTGACCTTGCTGGGCGTGCGGACCTCGAGGTGATGCTCGATCTTGAGCGACTTGCCCTGCAGAGGGGGCGGCTTTAGATTCGAAGGGGGCGCCATCGTGGGCGTGACACCGCGGAGGGGCACAGTGACGTACAGGCGCGGGGGCGTGTCGGCCTTGGTGACGAAGGCGTCTTTCGGCGGCGAGCTGGGGCCAGGGGAGCCATCAGCGCTCGCCGCGCTCGACATCAACTCGTCCCCTTCGTCGCTCTGCTCGCCCTCGCGGTGCTCCTCGCCCTCGTCACGCATGTGGACTTCCTCCTCGACCTTCTCGTCACCCGTAAACACTTTCAGCTCCGGCACATCGTCGTCGCCACCCGATCCCTCCGACATCGCTTTCTCGGGAGGCGGCGGGGTAAAGTTGAATCCAAACCTGTGACGCTGGCGCGGGACGTCGGTGTCAAAGTCGAAGATCTGCGCGAGGGTAGTTTTCTTCGGAGTCGCCATGGCCTGGCTGGGTGGCAAGGGGAGCGACTCGAAACGGACCTTGGGGGTCTTGATAGGATCCACGGGCGAGGCGGAGCGCAGTGTCGAGCCGGTGGACGCGACCGACGCCGAGAGCTCGATGGTGCGCTTGCCCTCCTCGTTGCCCGAGATGTCGTCGAGGGTCGCCATGATGAGGGATAGAGAAGAGCGAAAGAAGAGATTGAGGAAAGCGTGGTGACTCATGCGGAGTGGACCTAGGCGGTGCGTGCGCTGATTGACACCCGATGCGAGGGGGCGAAGTGCGTGTGCGTGCTGTCTGCGCGTGTTTCGGGTACCGTACTCCCGATGGTAAGCGTTGAAGTTCGATGACGAGTGAGGTAGTGTGAGGAGTCAAGTCAGTTGCGTGGATTTCTTTCTGCAAGAAGTGGTGTCATCGTAGAGCGCCTGGATTGAGCGAGGATGACGAGGAAGACGAGGAAGGCGAAGTTGGCCACCGGCCAAGGCGTTCCGCAGCCTGGACGTGGCCAGAACACTTCGAACACAGGTTGACCTCATCGATCTGCGCCCCTCTGCCCCTTCACGTGAAGCATGAGACAATCAGTATTGGCGTCATCGCGAGTTGTCTGAGGACTAGGACGGGAAGTGAGTTGCGCTATTCTGCGAAGGCTTCGGTGCAGTTTCCAACCTCACTTCGGTCACCTTCTGGCTGCTGTTGCGTCGTCGACGAATAAGTCGGCTGATTAGAAGTCCGATCCTATTCTCCTTGGGCCATGTGGTGAGTTTTCCTCAGACGAAGGCCTCGATCAGTCCAATACTGGGATCAGGGCAGAGAAACTCCTCGGCCGCGATGAACAAGAATTCTTCGCGGACCACCTCCGAAAGTTAATTGTGAGTCAGCCGAGACACGGCCTTGGAGACGAGGGGGCACGCGACCGTGACCGAGGTGATGCCGCGATGATACCGTCGGTTCCGATCGCTGATCCAGATAATGGGATCTGTGGAACACAGTGGGCCGCGATAAGCAAGAGCGATGGGTTCCTTGCGCCTCTGACGTCGAGGGTGATTCGCTGCGGGCGGACCGGATAACGTTGATACGGACAGCGTGAGTGAGGGTGGCCATTGGATGATGTAAAGATGCAAGACGGAACTGGTTATCTCGAGAGGTCGTTGATATCAAGACTCTGCAAGCGAGGAGGCTGCAGGGTGTTATCGGGGTACGGCTGCAGCAGGGGAAGAGTTAGCCGTAGGAGGGTTGGTCAGCTGTCTGTGCCGGTCCAGGGGAACATGGTCAGCCTATAGGAGCAGAGAACGTGACGACCATCCGACTGGAGAGGGAGGTGGGGTACGTGGGGTAAGCCAGGGACGGCCCTCGCTCTGAATGCGATAATGACGGCACCTCCACGTGAGGCCCGGTTAACTGCCAAGACGCTCATCGCAGCCCCGCAATCCCAATAGGTGGACACTCGCACACAGCGTCCACTGCCGGCGCTAACCTCGCCTCTTTGTCGCTTGTCAACATCCACCCCGCATTCGATCGTCCTTCCTCGTCATCACTCCATCCCTCACCACCCTCCAACCGTCCTTTGTCGACCATTACCATCCCACCCCATCGCACAGACAACGCCCCCCGGCTCAGCTGAACAAATTTTGTCTCTCCGCGCGGTCCGTGTCCTCAAAGCAACAATCGACGCCACCTGCTGGGCTGCCCTCGTGCCTATCGCTGCTCAGGCTCAAGTCCGCTCGATCCGTCACTCCGAACTCGCCGCACCCCACCTTTCCCAGTCAGCCCAAGCCCATCCATCCAAACCACAGTCACGCCCCGTTTCCTATTGCCCATCTCCCACTCTTCACTCTTCATCTCTGCCGACCTCGTTTTCCTGTATCCACTTGAACCTTAGCTCGATCGGCCTCGCACTGTCACTGGACCAACGCCAATCGCGCCCGATCGCTCCCTCGTCGCTTATCTTCCGACCACTCGGAGCTTGCCGCTCAACTTAACACGTCGGACCAGCACGAGCGAGCTCACACGTTGACCACCTCGGGCGCATACACTCTCCTCTCTACCCTGCGGTGAGTGGAGATGCTATGCAGCTGAGCGACATCGGAGCACCTGGAGCGGGGACGCTGTACACGTACGGGTTCGAGGACCTCGTCGAAGATGACTGGGACAGCCTGGTGAGTGCGACCCATAACGCTTGAACAGCTCAGCCGTGACTGTATGCACTCACGTTTCTGACGCTGTGACTGAAAATTTCGGGTTGTTTATGCCTCGGCGCAGTCGTCGCTGAGTCACTCGTCGCACCTACCACCACCGTGCACGTTACCCTTGCTAACAGACCCAGCCTCGCACCCACCCCCGGCTCACGGCCTCCCCAGACTCGCTGCTCACACATGGGATCGGCGACTACACCTACCTCAAGGCACCAGAAGGCGTTCTCGGCAGGGGCAAGTTCTCGACGGTGTACCGCGTTGTGAGCTCGGCCACGAGCAAGCACAGGTCGACGACAGAAGGGGTATCGTCAACGCCTATCCTGACGTCGCTCAACATTTTGCCGTCAGCCCCGGCCGTAGTCGCCTCGGTGTCCACGATCACGGCTACTGCGACGCGCACAACCGTGACTACGCAAGTCACGACCGGCTCGCTCGAGGGCTCCTGCTCGCCATCCAGCTCAGAGCCGGCCTCTACCGACTCATCACCCTCCTCCACCAGTATACCCACAACATCCTCGTCTACGACCACGACCACGGCGCCCTCGCCCACGAAACGCTTCCCATCACCCGACACGACCCCGCTCGCCTCTGGCACGACGACCCCTGTACAACCGCACCCGCATCATGTCTCGAAGGAGCAAAAGTTCTTCGCCCTCAAGCACACGCCCCTGTATCCGCACCACCAGTTAATCGCGCAACGCCTCCTGCGTGAGCCGACGTTGTTAGCCCAGCTCGCACCGCATCCCTGCCTGATCGGCGTTGACGGTTTCGTCCGCACAGAAGGACACTTTTACCTCGTCGGTGAGTAGCTAAAAGGTCGTGGTGCTCAGCTGACGCCCAGAGGACTGCGCGTCATCGCACGTCCCGCTTCCCCAGCACCCGTACCCGCTCCTTCCCTCACGTGCTGCGTATCTCCTGGATCAGCTGGTCTCGGTGGTCCGTGATGACCTGCACGCCGGACGGGTGTGCCATCGCGACCTGAAGGGCGAGAATATCCTCGTGAACCCGGACACGGGTGACATTCTGCTTCTGGGTGAGTCGGAAGCAGCTTCCAGTACGAGACTATCGCAGCTGACGCCAGACCTCGGCCTCGCGACGCACTTCTCCGCGAGCGAGCCCAAGCTCACGACATGCTGTGGCTCGCCAGCCTTCCACTCGCCTGAGATTGTCAACGCACTGAATCACCGCCCAGGGGAGGTGACCTACTATGGGTGAGTTGTCTGGCTTGTGTAAACTGACCCCAGACCGGAGCTCGACATCTGGTGCATCGCACTCACGATGCTGTCGCTGCTGACGCAGACGCGCTTCCCGCTCGGCCCGCATCACACCTCGCGCACAGTGATGGCGCAGCGTGCGTCCGAAGTCCTCGCAGAGCTCGACACGCTGTACCCGCCCTCTGCGCCGTGGCGGATCATGGGCCAAGTGCTGTCAGACACGGAGCAGGCCTACGAAACGAGCGAGTGGAAGCGTGTCCGGCGCGCAATGCACACGTTCGTGAACATCCGCGCAACGCACCGCATGGCAGCTTTCAAGGCGTACGACGTCGGCGCAAAGGTGCAAGCGCGCGTGGACGCGTACCCGAAGACGCGCGCCTTCAAGACGACGGCCTTCACGCCCGTGCGTCGTCGACGAATAAGTCGGCTGATTAGAAGTCCGATCCTATTCTCCTTGGGCCATGTGGTGAGTTTTCCTCAGACGAAGGCCTCGATCAGTCCAATACTGGGATCAGGGCAGAGAAACTCCTCGGCCGCGATGAACAAGAATTCTTCGCGGACCACCTCCGAAAGTTAATTGTGAGTCAGCCGAGACACGGCCTTGGAGACGAGGGGGCACGCGACCGTGACCGAGGTGATGCCGCGATGATACCGTCGGTTCCGATCGCTGATCCAGATAATGGGATCTGTGGAACACAGTGGGCCGCGATAAGCAAGAGCGATGGGTTCCTTGCGCCTCTGACGTCGAGGGTGATTCGCTGCGGGCGGACCGGATAACGTTGATACGGACAGCGTGAGTGAGGGTGGCCATTGGATGATGTAAAGATGCAAGACGGAACTGGTTATCTCGAGAGGTCGTTGATATCAAGACTCTGCAAGCGAGGAGGCTGCAGGGTGTTATCGGGGTACGGCTGCAGCAGGGGAAGAGTTAGCCGTAGGAGGGTTGGTCAGCTGTCTGTGCCGGTCCAGGGGAACATGGTCAGCCTATAGGAGCAGAGAACGTGACGACCATCCGACTGGAGAGGGAGGTGGGGTACGTGGGGTAAGCCAGGGACGGCCCTCGCTCTGAATGCGATAATGACGGCACCTCCACGTGAGGCCCGGTTAACTGCCAAGACGCTCATCGCAGCCCCGCAATCCCAATAGGTGGACACTCGCACACAGCGTCCACTGCCGGCGCTAACCTCGCCTCTTTGTCGCTTGTCAACATCCACCCCGCATTCGATCGTCCTTCCTCGTCATCACTCCATCCCTCACCACCCTCCAACCGTCCTTTGTCGACCATTACCATCCCACCCCATCGCACAGACAACGCCCCCCGGCTCAGCTGAACAAATTTTGTCTCTCCGCGCGGTCCGTGTCCTCAAAGCAACAATCGACGCCACCTGCTGGGCTGCCCTCGTGCCTATCGCTGCTCAGGCTCAAGTCCGCTCGATCCGTCACTCCGAACTCGCCGCACCCCACCTTTCCCAGTCAGCCCAAGCCCATCCATCCAAACCACAGTCACGCCCCGTTTCCTATTGCCCATCTCCCACTCTTCACTCTTCATCTCTGCCGACCTCGTTTTCCTGTATCCACTTGAACCTTAGCTCGATCGGCCTCGCACTGTCACTGGACCAACGCCAATCGCGCCCGATCGCTCCCTCGTCGCTTATCTTCCGACCACTCGGAGCTTGCCGCTCAACTTAACACGTCGGACCAGCACGAGCGAGCTCACACGTTGACCACCTCGGGCGCATACACTCTCCTCTCTACCCTGCGGTGAGTGGAGATGCTATGCAGCTGAGCGACATCGGAGCACCTGGAGCGGGGACGCTGTACACGTACGGGTTCGAGGACCTCGTCGAAGATGACTGGGACAGCCTGGTGAGTGCGACCCATAACGCTTGAACAGCTCAGCCGTGACTGTATGCACTCACGTTTCTGACGCTGTGACTGAAAATTTCGGGTTGTTTATGCCTCGGCGCAGTCGTCGCTGAGTCACTCGTCGCACCTACCACCACCGTGCACGTTACCCTTGCTAACAGACCCAGCCTCGCACCCACCCCCGGCTCACGGCCTCCCCAGACTCGCTGCTCACACATGGGATCGGCGACTACACCTACCTCAAGGCACCAGAAGGCGTTCTCGGCAGGGGCAAGTTCTCGACGGTGTACCGCGTTGTGAGCTCGGCCACGAGCAAGCACAGGTCGACGACAGAAGGGGTATCGTCAACGCCTATCCTGACGTCGCTCAACATTTTGCCGTCAGCCCCGGCCGTAGTCGCCTCGGTGTCCACGATCACGGCTACTGCGACGCGCACAACCGTGACTACGCAAGTCACGACCGGCTCGCTCGAGGGCTCCTGCTCGCCATCCA